GGCTGCGCCCTGGAGCCAGGCCTGGGGTTGGGGCTCGAATGCGAGTGCCTGGTGGCTGGGCTTAGCCCGAACGAACGACGTGGGGACGTCCTCCCATGGGCCCACCACCTGCAGGAGGATCCGTAAGGGGCCGGTGCGCAGTGGATTGGGCAGCAGTCGAAGGCAGGGGCCCCGACGACCCGATCTCTGGACACAGAGACTAGCCTTCCGTGTTGTCTGATTTACTGTTTAAATGTTTTTCCAGGCGCATCTCCCTCGCCACCCCTCGACAGCTTTTTAAATCCTCTAACATGACCCAGCGCTGGCAGAGAAGAGAGATCTCCAACTTTGAGTACCTCATGTTTCTCAACACAATTGCAGGTAAGAACTCCTAAAGCTGTACAATGCTGTGATTCCCAAGTGAAACTCAGTGCTTTTAGTTTGGAAGTCACTGAAGGAATGGAAAGAATGTATTCCCTTTTTCACAGCCTTCAGTTAAATAGATAGATTTTGATTTGTTTCCTTCCACATCTGGGAAACTGTTACCCCTGGTGAAAGTTTTAATCTATGTGAATCTCTTCACCATTAGATCCTTATGACTTTAAGTTTAGCTTTCATAATCACAAAACTTTGTGTCACTGACATTGGAAACATACTGTAAATGGCTTCAGGTATGTCATAAATGCTTAAGAATCCATGGTGTCCTTATGTGGTCATGGACATAGTACACTTCACTGTTCATTGGAGTGTGCTGTTTGAAGCAGGCACAGCAGATTTCGCCAGATAATTAGTGTCTGGCTTTGTGAGAGTGTACACGTGTCTGCAGAGTTGAGAGGTTCTGTTGTTGACTCTCTGATCTGAACTGCAACTAACAGGAAAGGCGAGAGCGACTGCACACTACTCTACTCTGAGAGGTGTCATCTTCTTTCTCGCTGCATATTCATGCATATTTATATTTAGCTCGTGCTTGAGTTCAGTACATTATTGTCAGCTAATTAGTTCCAAGTCAGAGAGAAAAACATGCCCAAAATTCATTAAAAACCTCTAGTAATGACCTAGGCTAACGGGGATGACAGAATAGTGTGGGGCGGCAGACAGGCAGAGGGTGATGTGCTGGGAAGAGGTGTGAACGGGAAGAGGTCTTCTAATTAAACACTATTCCACTGTTATTAACATCCTGCCACCCCAGCTTAGGTCTCAGCACCAGTAGGTTTAACCAAAACCCCCAGCTCATCCTCCACACTTGGCCCGCTGCTTCTGTTTCACTATATGTTATTAACCTGGATAATTATGCTCTCTAGCGTCCCCTAGACCCTGGCTACTTTGCAGCAGCCTTCCCGCTGACTAGCCTGTCAGACGTTGTCACTCGCTCAGCTAGATTTAGACTCTCTAATGCCAGCCTGCTGCTCTCCAGGAGTGAGCAGAGACATACCTGCGGGATTGGATCATATTGATAATATTTTGTAGGTGCTCATTAAAATGTTATGGCACTAGCCAGCAGATTTAAAAATATTCTTTTCACTGAACAGTTGTGTTTTATCGCATTGCATAATATTAATCTACATTAGCTTTCATTTAGATGTAACAAATCAGCTTTTATTATTCTGATCTTAGCATTTAGCTTGATACTGCTTTGATTTTAGATGCTTGAAGTTTTTAATTTGTTGACCATTATGTGACAGAGTGAAGGCAATCACTGATTTAAGGTAATCTTGGTTCCTCTTTCAATATTGCAACTTCAACTAGGTAATTATGAAAATGTACAGTAACACTGTAATAATGTATAGGTGTGCAGGAGTCTCATTTCTGGCACCAGTACTCTGTTGTGATGTAGTAATGTATAACTAAAGTTTATACTACACTAGTCTATATCAGCACTGTAAAATTGGAACATGTATGTAATTGTGAAATGGTTTTCAAAAAATGTGGGAACTTTTTATTACCTCAAGAAAAGATGTCAAAGGATATAAAAATACCCTAATATTATTGCTGCTCTCTTTTACAGTTTATCCTAGATCTCCTTAGTGACTTAAATAAAATGTTGCATTTTTACTGTCACTTTACTTTGAGCCCACATTTTCAACTTGATTTATTACCAGCAGTAAAAATTCCAGCAAAACCCTCTAAAGCAGCCCCATCCCGTTCATGGATTACAACTGGCCACCACCTGACCTCACAGCTATATCAGTGTCATCTTCAAAAGAAAAATAGATCTTTAATGACAACATGAATTTCCTATGCCACATTTTGCCATCTGAAAACTATATTCCACTGCCAGAGCACTGAGGAAATTCACATCTGGCCAGTCAGTGTAGAAGACTTGCAGTGACATTTTAGGTGTTTGGAGCCTTGGCCCTCAGAAGAATCTCGCTCTGTAATTACCTCCACTCCTCGCAACTTAGAGACACTTATGTTCTTTATAACCTTCAAGACAGCCTTCTCAGGCCTCCTGTAACTTCCACAGTCTATTGATAAAGTGCACTCAGCAGGCAAAGGCATGAGGAGCAGTGGAAACATTCTCACATAGCAGAGTAAGCTTGCCATTAGTGTGTGTTTCCCTGGCAGGCTCCGTATGAGACAGGAAGTGTGTCTGATTGAGGGCTCTGAGATTGGGAGCTTGTTGGAATGTTGCATGCTGATCCTCCAAAGTAACTGAAGCCTCAAGTGTACCCTGCCCTGCTTTTCAACCCCCGTGTTCCCTTCCAGTCCTTCATCACTTACAGATTTCTGTCTGCCCTGTGTGTCTAGGGAGGACATACAATGACCTGAACCAGTACCCCGTCTTTCCCTGGGTTCTCACCAACTATGACTCTGAGGAGCTGGACCTGACCTTGCCGGGGAATTTTAGAGATCTTTCAAAGGTACCGAGGCCTCCTAGCCATGCACCTCAGTATGACAGAGAGAAGGGAGGGGGCAAGTAGAGGCAGCTGACTCTGACAGCAGGGGATTTCCTTATTAAGAGTCAGACTGTAAAACAATATCATATTTAATGGCAAAGGAATCATGTGCAGATTCTAAACTCATAAGATGGATGCAGAAAGTGGAAAATGCTGATTGTAACATGCACTAAACCTTAGGTACACTTACTCCTGATTTATTTGGTACTGTATTGTCTCAGCACATAATTTGCACTGTCTGCTTTGACTGTAAGCTTAAAATTGGCTCCTGGTTTCTGCATAGGAGAGGCTTAAAGCACTCAATTTTTTTACCATGTGTGCCTATATGGTAGAGACAGCAATATAATGCATAGTTAACAACTCTGCCAGCAAGGAAAGGCAGTTTGTTTTCTTGATCTGAAGCATACCTGGGCTGTGTAGTTGAAACTATTACTGCAATATTAATAGGAAGATTTACAAATTTTGATATACAGAATCACAATATGGCAAATGTGTACAACACCATCGTACAAAATATTCAAACTGATTGCAAAATATGAGATAAACTACATAAGTTGCTGAAAGCTGAAAAACAATAATGAATTATTGTCCAGCCCAAGTGTTCTACACTGTGAAGTTTGTACTATGTCAAAGACAGAGCACAACATTGGTATATTTTTTAGTAGCTGTTAGTTTAATTCATTAAATGTTACCAATTAGTAGTTTCTGCTTGGATTAGGCTTTTTCATGGTTGATGAAGTGAAAAGAGCAGGTCATGAGGGCAGCACTGCAGTGAAAGTCGAATGCAGTGGGTCCAAAATGAATCAAGCAGTGCAGTAACAAGAGTCTAACAAACGCTGCCAAATCACAAGAGCTCAGACATATTGACACTAATGCCCTGCAGCCCTGGGAGATACAATTCAGCGTTATGTTTGCTTTGTCTTTGGGAAAAGACAGTAGATTACTCTGCTACAAACTGTGGCCTGGTTTACTGGTTTACCACCCCCCTTCTCTGTCTCTGTCTTTTTCTTGCACATGCACACTGCAGCTCACTGACCTGAAAACAGTTGCATTCCTGTCTGAGCTTTCGCGTGCTCACTTTATCGCTCCCTCATTCCTCCTTATTTCCCTCAAAGCGCCAACATTTTAACAGCCTCACTTTGCCATCTCAGTTCTCAGGTTTGTATCAGTTTTCAGCTTTTCAAAACATGTGTGTTCTGTTCTGTGGTGAGAGAGGGGAAGAACTTTGAAATATTAAAAAAAAAAAAAAAAGAAAGCCAGCTGCCATTAAACACTCAAAGAATCATGGCTGTGAATTTAAAAAAAAAAAAGCTCCCACTGTGCTGGAGCGCCTCTCCATGTTTCACATTCAAACCCAGAACATTATAGACAAACAGCTCGGTTGTGTTTCTTGCCACTGTCAGCTCAGTACCTGTCTGCTTTTAGCTGCTCTGGCCTGTAGGGTATCCAGGCTGGCTGAGAGAACCATGGGATGTGTGTGCATGTGTGTGTATTTGGGGCGGTGATCAGGGCTGAGCCATGTGCAACCCTTCTGCCCTGGGGAGACAGTTATGTATTGTAATGTATTCCAGTGACATCCTCCCATGCTGTTTACAGGGCTGAGCTGCCTTCATTAGCATGAGTTCACAGCCTAGGTCTCCTGACAGTTGTCCTTGGAACCCCAGGGCTCTTACCTCCAAAAGTTCACATCCAGTGTTGCAGAGAAGGACAGAGGCCTCCACACTTCTCCTCTCTGCTTGGTCTGTCCTTATGTTCAATTATGGATCAGAGGTAGTAGCATGTTCTCCAGAGACTTGTTCTTTGCATATTAGGGCTGTATGTCTAGTAGGTGTGGTTGTTTACCACACACACTGTGTGTGTGGTAACTGAGGCTGTGTTTTGTTTAAAATATTTTGTACAATACTTGTTTTAGTACCAATACTGTTATAATACAAGTTTGTGAGGTAGTGTGGGTTGTCTCCTAACTGGAAGGTTGATGGTTCAATGCCCAGCTTGTCCAGTCCACACGTCAAAGTGTCATTGAGCAAGTCACTGGAGCCCTAGTACCCCTGACACCGGTGTGCAAATGTGTGTTTGTGTGTGCTTCAGTGCGTAGAAAAGTGCTATATAAGTATGACCATTTCCCATGTTTGGCTACAATTTTTTTTATTTTTCACTTAATAAAAGAAGCCACACTTCTCTAATTTTCTTTGCTGACAGACACAAACTGCTGTATCAAATCACCTCATGTAATATAATCTGTTGCTCCAGAGCTGCAACATTATGAAGATTAATCGTCACCTAATCACTCTTAGGTTAACGCACTAGATAAAGCTAAATTGTAATTTCAGCTAAATTATAGACTATAAAACTGAAGCATCACTAACATTTATAAATTATTCTAAGATTACCCTACAATGGCATTGCACTGTTTGGGAAGCTTTCTTTCCCACAGATCAGAGTCATACCTGAGAGCTGTTTGTCAGTTACAGGTGAGTCTCACATGATGGGCAGCATTGTTTCAAACTGCTGGAGCTCTACACTCCTGCCAAATAATATCCTCCCACACCTACTGCACACACCTACAATTACCTAGTTGAGCATTCACTCAGCTGTGAACAGTGCTATTGAATGGGACATTGCTTTGCCCCCGGGCCAGCGTACTGCATATTTGGATGTCAGATACGTTCATACAACAAAGTGTTTCATTAGATTCTAATGATTATTTTTTTGATGGAGTGACAAGTAGATGATAGATAAGAGGAAGCTAATCTTTCCCTTGGCTATTAAATGATGTGATGGAAATTCACCTAAATGCAAAAGAAGGTGGAAGAAGCAGATGTGGTTTAACACTGTGCTTCTTCACTCACTGATTCACATTAATTAGATGAATCCTTTGTAAAGTTTGATTTCAAGAGACAAGCAACATCAAAAACTGACATAAGTATATTTCTCAAACCATTTAGTTATACATTTTCACTTAAAATTGCAAATATAATGCTGATCATATTGATTTCCCTTGGCAAGCACATTCTGAATGAGCTGTGCTGAGATGGAGAAATGTGTGTTAATATTTCCTCCTCAAGCTTCTGCTGTGGCGGTGAAAACTGAGCATCTCTGAGTAATGCAGACAGAGCTTGGCTGCTATCAAGACCCCCTCCACAATTGTTTTTCCATAATGGATCCTTCTTCACCCTCGAGTTCCACTCCAGTCAGGCTGTTTGAGAGCACATCTGCTTTATCTTGAGTTGGAGCCACTTGATTGCATTAGACTACGACTGCATGCAGACCTCCCCCTGACGAGGGAAGCAGAAACGACTGCAACTTCTCCTGACAGAGCACCATAGCAACATAGTGTAATGTAATTTATTTTGAAATATAAAATACAGTATGCATCTCCTTGGGAGGTAGCTTAGATATAACCAAACAAATGGAGGCACTCTCTGCACATTCACTGGCCGACAGGCACATTCACTTTCTTCATCTCTGGAGTGCAACAACAGAATGATCCTGATTGAATCTGAGGCCAAATCTAAGTTTGATCATACTTTGTTTAGTTGTGTTGCTGTATTTCACTCGGTCAGGTGCTTTACAAGAAATGAACTCAGATAGGAGAAAGTGTGAAACTGTCTGAAGCAGTTGTTTTCATTGTCTTATATCTGTGATCAGTATGATATACAGTGCAGGGAAAAGGGAAAGGTGAGTTTTTGTCTTGAATAGAAGTAAACAGAGCCTGATTTGGGCTCATTAGCAGATAGTGTATATGACAGGACTAACGTCACAGAAGGACCACTGAAGTGCTTGTGCTATTTCGTCATAAATGGCTTTTTATTTTTCATTAAATAATTACTCAGTCACACAATCTCCTCCATATACTCTGAATTCAAAACATGTTTTTCAATGGCCAAGAGAGTCATAGACACTAGACACTAGGTCTATGAAAACTAGGATATAGACTAACCTGGAAGCAGCTTTTCATTTTACTTACTTCTCCTAGGACCGACAGTGCTGGAGCTGCATTATGCCAAGTTTTTATGTTCTTGCAGCTGAGAGCACATTGTCTTGGCAAACATGCTGTGGAAGTAGTGTCTCCTTCAAGGCTACCTATGGTCAGTTCATTCCAGTCTCATTTGGTTTATTTTAATGTCAAGCACTGCCTTCATTCAGTGACACATTTGACGTATATTTTTGTCCTCGTATTTCAAGAATGTAGCATTCCACAGAATTATTGAGCTGAGACCGTGTTTAGAATAAATTATTGCCTGTTTTAGATGTAACTGGTGGCAAAGTTGTATAAAAAACTGTGACACAAATGTGTTCAGTGCACGAGGAGACAACACAACCAGATATTGCTAAGGATTTGTTAGGACAGAGAGTCAGCTCTATAGTCTGTTGTTGAATTTGAAGAGATACTATGAACTCATTACCCAAAACTCAACACTTTGGTTTACAGCCTCACTGTTCTTTTCAAACGGGTTCCCACCTGCCACCACAGCAGCTTTAATTGTCCTTCTTTTTTCTCTTGCTTTCATTTGTTCATTTTTTTTCCTCAGTTTGTCACACATTTCTATATGCAGTTCTACTGTAATAATTACATTTTTCTCTAGCATTTAATGTAACTGTATTAATCACCTGCAAAATAACCAGTTGGCCATTTGTTAGGCTTACCTTTATTTTTGCTGCTGTTGTTATTTTTTTACATTTCAGTGAGTTGGTATTTACTGTATAAACATCCCAACTTTAGTGGTGCTCAACAGTCTGCCAGGTACAAATTCCCAAGGTAACAGCAAGCTGTGACAAAATATACCAGAAGAATAATGATGAATAATGATGTGATATGAGCTTTTTCCATGCAGCCAGTGTAATGATATGCTACTACCACAATAAATAAAAGCATTCCTACTTCTACACTACCACTATAAGTGACATTAAAAAAAATCTTTTATTTATGCTTATGCAGCAGATAGCCTTGAAAACACAGTAAGAACAGTTTTGCTTCATTATTCAGAACCAAATTAACAGGAAAAATTACCAGGAAATAACTAAGAAAACAGGTCTTTGAATGTCTTCCCTTTTACCTGGTGCTTAATTCTAGACCTGCTGTGGTAAGTTTAATCTCAGGTAAAGGGAGAGAGATGGAGTCTAGGTTTATTGCTTGCATTTATCCAAAATTTAAAGTTTAAAAACGTAATGTTGGCTTGTAATAGTTCTTTAAGCACAATTGTGTGTCTCATATCACATGAACATGCCTATAATTATGGCTTGGTTTGTTTTCCAGCATCTTCTGGTATCATGGTATTAAAATGGGCAAATAAAATAGTTAATTTACATTTTAAATTAGAGCCGTACCAGTCAGTTGCTTTGTATGTTGTTATGTGAGTAGTTTACTTTTTCTTCTTTTACACTTTGTAGTATTATTTGCAGCTGTCGTTGTCTTATTCTTCTTTCCCTGTCACATGTTACCTGGATCTTTCAAACAGCTCTAACTTGTGTTAGTGGTTTCCCAGAGGGTGAGACATCTTGTGGCTCGCACCCTGATCCAGCTGGGCCAAGATGTCACGTGCACGGCTATTATCACTTCATAAATCTATGCAGATCTCAATAAACTTCTCCCTCAGTCTATTGAATTGCGCTCACACTGATGTGGACTGCCATTATTTTTTAAAAAGCAACCACAAAAAAAAAAAAAACTGGCCACATTTAATTTTGACTTGGAGCTTCAGGCATGTGACCTGTGCTGCACAGAGTCTGTTTGTTGTACTAAGATTGCATACAAAATGTACCCAGCCAAAAGAGTAAGAGTACCCTTTTAATAATCAGTAACTGACTCAGTGGTACTGAGTGTATTAATATTGACTGCCAATATGCCTCCGAGGCTCTTAGGCTGGATAGGGTGATTGAAAAAGCCGAGAAAGTAATTTATTCACCACTAAACGTATGTTTAATGGGAGTAATTTTGTTGCCTTAGGAACACGTGAAAGTAAAACACTCGCCAAAGGGCAAAAACCCTATGACGGTGTCAGTGCAATGTTGAAGTTATTAATGAGTCTGGGGTTAAATAATGAATCATGCTATGCAAGGTTTGACCTAACTATGAAATAAATGGATGGGTGTCAAATAAATATATCAGTTATGTTATTTTTTTATATGCGCCCATGTTCTTCAAATGCAAACCAAAGAATATGAGAGTGTTTATGATTTCTGACATTTTCAGTCTTGACAGTGCACTTGTCTCACATCTGCTGTTTACCAGTGAAAGGCTAGTTTGGGGTTTTTGGAAAATGTGTTTTTCTGTCCTTTTTTTAATAATAGGCAAACATTAAGGTATCAGGTGTTCAGAATTCAGGTTATGTACATATTTTGTGGGGAGCCTTTATGATAACATGCACACATGCAGCATGTAGTGCAGTCTAAAGTAGCTTTACAGCAGTAAATACTAGCCAATTATATTCAGTTTTCTCAGTTGTTTAGTCTTTGAAAAACAAATTTTGATTTTGTTCTAGGCACTGATAATCTCAAGACCATGGCCAGTGTTATTTTTGTACTATTTCCCATAGGTCCTAGTAACTCCCATTAGCAGTGCCCAGTAGCTCAGAAGGGCTAAGGGAGTAGCTGTGCTAAGTAATGTGTTTGACTTAGTGGGTGTGTTGGGTGTAAATCAGGTCAGCCAGGGTTAATCCACATGGATTACCCACAACATTTAGCAACAGACGCTCATATCTCCTCCTTCCCCTCAGTGCACCATCAGCTCACTCCTGCCACCATATCCCTGTAAATTTCAGACAGAAGACAGTGCAACAGGAACCTTTTAGGGTTCAGGCAAATAATGAGGTTTGACAGACGAATCCCAGAGTAAAGCTCCTTGTCTGGCCTGAACTCAGATCCAGCCTCTCTGCCAGTCTCACCACATATAGTCCTAGAACCTCTGCAAGTTTATCTCAGTTAATTATGCCCAGTGTTATGCCTTTCTGTTCATTATGCTTTCCTAACAAAAGCAATAGGAAGGCAGATCATTTACACAATAGACCCAATGAAAGAATCTTACCTGTAAATCAGTGTAGAAGTACTGTAGCTTAATTTCCTGGTGGTCTTAATGAATTTCACTGCACCTATGGGTTCGGGCCATCACTTCACCTTCTACATGATGAGAGTATTGGCAGCAATTGGTCTATGTAACTAGGTTAAAAAGTCCAACCTAAATGACTGTATACTTTATTTGTCCTTCTCCGACACGGCCCATAGGAGCAGGGACAGTGGAGTTCCAATTGCAAATCCCTATTTTATGAGGCTTCGAGTGTCACTTGTTTCATTGCCCAATAATTAAGTGAAATTGAATACATTATATGAGTCAGACTAGCTTGAGTTTAGCACACACACTAAATAAAATGATATATTAGTAGTATTTAGTATTAGTAAAGTTAGCTTTGACTATTTCAGCGAGTCAAATACTGGAGCAGTTGCACATAAACTGCAGTTTTGACTGACCTCTGATGACACAATGATCTAAGTTAAGTCAGTCTGTGTGGTTGTGATGAGAAGACACAAATAGTATTGTTAAGTACTCACACTGGCATACAATTACACATAATATAGATTTTAAAATCCTTGAGGTTGTCTGTAAATCCATTCACAGACTTCTCTTTCACTGTGTTGTCAATATGCTGCCACTACAGCGCCTACCACTGCACGGTGCTCAGATCTTCATTCTGCTGCCCACTAAACCAAATAAGCTTTTGCACTTTTGAATCCGAACAGAGCACTGTAAAGAGAGCGAGAAGGTGGCTTACTTTAATGTTAAATAGGTTATTACTTTTTCTATTTTAAACTTGTATCTACTATATGTTTGACTGTGCTTGTGACCATGGTTGTTAGCCAGGGTATATTAAAACTTTGTGGATTCTACAGAGACATTGTTCCTACAAATATGACCCTCAAAGCATACATTACTAGGTTTTATATCAGTATAAAAACTGGTTCATCATTTTAACTGGATACTGCAGTATGTACATTACATACAATAATTATCAGGACAGATTTGAGGTCTCTTCACACTTTTAAACTTTATTAGTTGTTTTAAAGAAAAGCAGCTGAGCTTTTTTTTTAACATTTATTCTTTTTATTAAGACTTTTTACCAGTAAGAATGTCTTAGTTATGACATAATGTTAACTGAAAAGTCAGTACCAGAAACACAGAAAGAGAAGTGGTCATAAATGGTAAGCATCCTAATTTACAGTAAAAAAAAATCATCACCTTTGTATACAGTACAGTATATTGTACACAAATCCATCTGTGCATTTTATGAAGTTTGCAAAAAAAGTATTGCAGAACTGAACCTTTTTTCATTTTTTTTCCAGCCTGTTGGCGCTCTGAATCCGAAGCGTGCGGCATTCTACGCTGAACGTTATGAAGCGTGGGAAAATGACCAGACACCACCTTGTCATTACAGCTCCCACTACTCCACTGCTGCCACCAGCCTGCACTGGCTTGTCAGAATAGTGAGTAAAATCACTTCTTCAACCACCCTAACAGCCATTATTGTACTGTTTTCAAAATCCCTGAATTAGTCAAGCATCTGAATAGGAATGAAGTCAAGCCCACGTCCTCAGACAGCTTTTCATTTTTGACTCTGCATTAGTTGATTGTCACTTGTCAGGCTTGATGATGCTGTTACTTTGAGGTCTGTTGGCTTCTGCACAGGAAACGGCTCGACATCTCAATTTGATTGGGTCTGAGTTAGACCAATGGCGCTCAGAAAACACATTTCACAGGCCAGTAAACCGGCATATGTGAACTAAATAAAGAGTGGCTGGGTAATGATTTACAGAGGCTGCTGTGACAGGTTTATGTGTTTCAGGCAACCCAGTGAGCGCTAGAGACATGTCCATCAAGGTTACTGAGCACTGTCCTCATTTACTCTGGAAAAGAGGGAGGAGGTACATGCACTTCCAGTCTGTTCCCCGAAAAACTGGCCCTTATAACCTCCACAGCATCACTGAGTTGGTGCGCATTTGATTTTGAAGTCAGCTTATTAATTTGAAAGAGGTTTATGGGGAGTTACTGTATTTCTCCTCCTCCTCATCATTAAAAAGGGGCTGATGAACTGAGGGAGCTCCCTTGACAACGGTTAGATTGGTCTCTGTGGGTTTGTTCCCACAATTCCTTTCTTCCTCTGGTGAGTAATGCTTCCACTCTAACCACCAGCGGTTGCCTTCTCAGGCTGAGAAAACCAAATTTGAGCCAATTATCATTATAGCTTACTGTACTCAGGAAGAACACTAATTAATTCTCCCTCAGGCTTGGATACAATTAATGACTGATCTCTACAGAGGTCCCTTAGACTGCTGTAGAAATAAATAATGATATAATTCATACCATTCACACATCACATAATCTACATCACACAGTAATCTAGTAAGCTCAAAACAGAAAAGATTATGACTTTAAATTTGGTTGGAGATCTTTGTGATGTTTAATTTACTTTCTCTGTAGGAGCCCTTCACCACGTTTTTCCTTAGTGCCAATAACAACAAATTCGACCACCCTGACCGCACCTTTTCAGCCATTGCCCGCTCTTGGAGAAACTGTCAGAGGGACACGTCAGATGTAAAGGTGAGAATCATAACCAAAGAAAGCATTATCCATGATTTATGTTTATGTGGCTACACAGGTCTAGAACTGGAAACCTAAAAATCTGTGCCAATTAAAAAGTGGGCGTTAAATCTGTGATCATTATCTTTAGTCTATCATTATCTTATATTTTTGTCCTCCCCAACTACATACATATGAGAGAGTCAGAATATTAGGAACACCTCTGAATATAATGTAGTACAACACCACCTTTAGCTAGGACTTCAATAATAAACCATAATGGAATTTATACATTTATGACAATTTCACAAAAAGATGAAACATTTTGAGCTTCATAAACAGATTTTAATGTGGACGTGTTGCACTGAAATACATACAACTGTACAGGTGTACCTAATAAAGCAGAAAGTGATTGCACAACATATCAGCAAAATTACAGCTGTACTGTTATGTTTAATTTGCAGGATAACAATACTAAGCATCTCTCACTATGCTCCCCTCCTCAGCCAGTGTAGCTGAACACCACTACAAAAATATATACCATAAATTATAAATGCCTCATCCAAACAGTGAATCACAAAGACCCATGGTGTACAGGAATACCTCAGCACTTAAAAATGCACATTTGATTTATTTCATGCAGAAAACAAACTCTCAGAGGTAGACTCATCTTGTGTCTGTACATGCAAGCGCTCATGAGTTTGAACAAAGGCTGTGTCTGAGAGAAAGACAAAGCCCTCCCTCTGCAAATCCACAGAGCAGTCACCGAAAACGCTGAACCCTGCTGATTCGCCTCCATTTTGCCCACTGCATAACATACAGCAGGATTACGCACTGACCTCAAAGTGTCATATTTCTAACACACCCTGCATCGGGTACTGTAGCCGCAGGCAATTAATAAAGCATTAATGACAAAACCTATTTAAAATGTAGTCTTTTATGTACGGACAGGGCTTTTACTTGCCAGGATGTGGGGGTGTCAGTATGCGAAGCAGAGACAGAAAACTGCAAGCCAGTGAACAGCTGAATAGTCAGATGCCACCCTGTTAACAAATACAGCCTACATTCAACTACTTGTATGTCTGCATGCATTTGTTTTACACACATAGGATGGCTACTGATCAAACTGGAGAGGCATTGTAGTGCCGGCGATAATGCTGGATTACTAATGTTACTTGCATGTTACTAAGCTGAGAGTCAGTGTCAGTACAGTGACTGATTATTAAGATTATTAACATTGTTAATTGTGATCCATTTTATAACGATCAAATTTTCTGTTTCTTTATTCATTCTTTGCATACCCACCAAACTAGTTTTTAAAATGGTTTTTATATTTGTAATTTTGAACACGCAATGGAAATATGAGAAAAGTATGAAAAGTGCATTGCTATATGTAATCCTATCCATAATAAAATAAAATAATGAGTCTAAACGTATAACACACAAATGTCATGCACCATCACATTATAGAATCTGCAACTGAGCGGCAAGTCTGGGTTAAGGTTGGCTTCAGCCCAGTGCACCAAGCGGGCCATCAGGCCTGATTAAAAGGCAGCTTGTTTTTACCAGGGTCTCTCCTTCATTAACCCCGGCCTCCTCCAGCAGTAATGACAACAAGACCGGGGCAGGCTGAACCCCTGATGGGGGTGACCTCCTAAAAGAGCAAGTCAAATGGAAACAACCTTGTGCCAACCATGCTTCACCTTCACTCCATCATTAATGTGCATCCATACCTCTCATTTATTTATGTGTGCATGTTAAGTTATGTTCAGAGTGGCACAGCCACCCATGGGCAAAGGGAAACAGACTTTTTTGTGCAGTAGTGGGCATAAATACACACATACTCACACAAACTGCCACCATGCTGTCTGAAGGAATCCAGCAGCACTTGTCTGGTGACAGATTTTGACGAACATGTCATTAAGGTGACACAGTGTAAAGCAATGGAGACTTGTGTGATTGACTTGTTAGCCCATTACGATGCTGTTGCAGAATTAATGGCTGCCATGGGAGGGTGGCTTGAAAACAGAGCTGGCAGTTTTAACGGCTTGGCGGTGAGTTACAGCAGGAAGTTTTCAAACAAAAACGAGGAGGGAAAGTGTGGTTGTGTGTATGTGAGAGACCGAAGGCAACAGAGAAGAATGCCTACTTTACTCCCTTCCCCGTCATGTGAGGAGGATGAAATGTGACCAACAGAAGACCAGCGGTGTTAATGGTCTATAGCCTGTCATGCTAACTCTCTCTCTGAAAGCCCAGTGATTTATGGGGGCTTAAAAGCTCTACATGTTATGTATCCCATAGGCAGTGTAAAGCTCAAAAGTACCAGTGAATCTTACAAACACTGCAGTCATTAAACAAGTATGATACACAGAGTTAAAGCACCAGCTTGCACCCTCCTTTATAATCTTAAGGCTAAGAGATAGACTACAAACCTATGTGTGGTTAATATGGATATGGTGTCATTATGGTTTCTAATGAGGGCAGAGCAGAGGTTCCACATTCCTCATGTGCATACGCCTCAGTGTGCAGAGGCTTTACTTACATGACCCTTCTTAGCTGTATGCTCAGGGGTATAAGGGAACTGAATGGGTACAGAAAAATTATATCAAAATATATATTATTTGTGGCAAATACCTTTTTTTAAAGAATTTTCTGAGATTATATTGTCAGTAGTTTTGCATTATATTTCCGTGCCATTGTTTTTGAATTGATGCCTTGACATTCAGGAAGCCACATTTAATTTCACTGAGCTGTAAAAGTTAAAACTTAATTTTAAACATTTTTGAAATAGGCCGTTACTAAATGGCAGCTCGTCTGTTATTTAGTTACATGTTAATTCAGCTGAAAGAAAGTGCCATCTGTCCAAATGTTCTTGGTTTAACTGGTAGCATGATGTCTAAACTTCAGTTACCTGTTAAAGAGCGGTGCGGAAGCTGTATTTTTTGGATGAAAGAAATAAGCAAATGTGAATGTTGTGAGTCTTTAAATGTAGCTTTATACATATTCTCTCTAGTGGATTGCCTATCTCAAGCACATCTGTGCAGGATGTACATGAAATCAACTTGCAGTCCAGCTAAAAACATATACAGTAATATGCTTTGTAGAATGGTCGCCATTAATGTTAGGTGTATACATAATGTGCTCTTAATGGGTTAAAAATAATAAAATGCCAGTATGGTCAGTCACCACAGGAGAAAACCTTTCAGGAGCAGCATTCAAAGTCTCCAAACTCGGGTAAATATTTGCTCTCTTTTTCAATGTATGGAATCGCGCCAGGCTCTGTGTTGGGGGCTCCTTTACCATGCTGACTTCCTCTCCACTGCAAGGTCCTGACCCCATCACACGAGCTCAGAGACCAGGGAGAAAAACCCAACTCAGTTCCAGTTTCATTTAACATACCTAACACCTCTGCCTGGAATAACCCGACTAGCACCTCTCACCGCCTTCTCGTGGCCTGCTGTTTAGTTTGTTTGTGTTACCTTTCCCCTTGAATTCTCACTTAATCTCAGCACGATACAAAGCCTTTTTTCTGTTTTTTCTTTTTTGTTGTCTGTCCTTGTGTATGTTATTTGTCGCACTTGACTGAATTGTTGGGTGATTAAACAGAGAAAAACTGTGGTATTCAACATTGTCTTGTTAGTTACATTGACAACATGAACATCTCTCTTCCTTTAAAATACAGGAACTGACTCCTGAGTTCTACTACCTCCCAGAGATGTTTGTCAACAGCAATGGCTACCATCTGGGTATGAGGGATGACAGGACCATGGTTTGTGATGTGGACTTGCCAGCCTGGGCCAAGAAGCCTGAAGATTTTGTTAGGATGAACAGGATGGTAAGGTTCAGGCAAAATCTCTAGGTAGAATTATGTTAGCAAAACGTATCCATGCATAATTGTTACCCCAGTTGTTATTATTATTATCTCTGGAGAAAATAAGAATATCTTAAGAAAATGTATTCTGAAATAAGAATATTATTAATTACAAAAAAATTAAACCTATGCCAGTTATTAATATTGCAGTAACACTGCTCGAAGCTAAAACTATAGTAATCATTTAGCATTTTTACTGAGATAAATAGAATGGAATGTGAATTATTCTCCCTTTATTAATATTTCATTAAGAATGTATAAATAATTATTTTATACTTTCCAGTAGACATCAGTCTTAGTCCCACACTGTATGGTACACTGTGTATATGTATAACACATATAGCACATATACCATAGTATATACTTATGTATGTATTATGCGGAGATGATATATACAGGATAATTTAGATAATAAATCTTCCTATAGTTTTTCTACTTGCTTCTCATTGCAGCAAATAAATCTGTTTCTCCATTACTTTTCCTTCTAACCTTCCAGTGCATCTGCTCGTCTTATTCATGAACCACCTAATAAAGTGCATTGCTTAGTATTAACTCTACCTCTGAGCGCAGTGATGTCACAGAGGGCAGTTTTGCCATATAGTGTTACCTTTTGTAATGCCAGGCCTCATCACTTTGGCAGTGTGTATGTGTATGTGTGTGTGAATGTCCGTGTGTGCCCATTTATTAGACAGCCTATCAACATGTGGCCCACGACTCTCAGCGGGTTTCAGGAGTAGCACAGAGAGAGAAATGGAGATCTGACCTGTATCTTGCTGTCAGATAAACTCTGTTCGCTCTTTGATCTGGAATTATTCACTGTAAAAATTCAACAGCTACTGTATCATCCCCACCAGCACTAAATGTAAAGAAAGAGACCACAAATTTCATATAAATAATATGATGAATAGCCACCGCATGTGCTTACAACAGTGCACGTGGTTTTTCAACACAGATGCATTTTGAACACAGTCAAATTAAAGAACAAAATAAGGACAGTTTGTACTTTCTTTGCATTTATGCAAACAAAATACAACAGAATTTAATTTTAGAAGAATGGTTAAATTTACAGTTTCAGTAATGAAAAAGTCCTCTCTGTTATGTCTCCACTTCTTAATTCAGGTTTAATGAGTGTGTTCCTCCTTAAAAGCAAAGTAACTTCAGTAATGCTGCTATGAAGATTAGAGTTAAAGTTAAATGCATTTTATGTATCCTGAGGTTAGGGGCCACAGTGTTGTTGGACCAAAGGTAGAAGGAGGCTATGGGAACACACTTGACCTTTTCAGCTGGAGTGACAGAGCAGGGATGGTCTTACGGTGGTGACCTTTCCCCATGCTCTACCCATGCTGCCTGGTCTCACTCTGTCAGGCTTGTATACCGGCAGGAACAGGGGTGGAAGCGGGTGAGTCAAGAGGAGAGAGAGAAAGGAGAGGCTGGGAGTTGTTACGGACATGTCTGCAACTCCAAAACAAGGAGAGAGAATGACTCAAAAAAGGATTACAGTGGATATTTTCTCAGTGTTGAAGGATACGTGTTTGATCCTGCTTTGCATTGTTACATTCGCAGACCAGTATATTTACACGTCTAGAAAATCATAGTCTTCTGCCTCCATTTTTTTCTTTTGTTCTGTTCCCTAGCTAGCCCACACTCCTGCTTCCACTATTATTTCATTTCTGTCAGTGACTCTCTCTGCTGCCTCCCCCCTCTCCCACTTGCCCTCTTTTTTCCTTCCCTCCTTCTCTTTCTCCCTTCTTCTCTCTTCCTCCCACTTCCCATCTTTGCATGTGCCACTTTCAATTGTAGTGATATGCCCTGTGGCAAACTGTGCCTCTGTGTGCTCAAGCAGGCTTTGTTGGTAATGGCTGTTATTTCTGACGTGATGGGAGGAGTGTAAATTCTTCCAGCACAGCCTTACAGCAGCATGCATGGGAATTATATTGTGCCTTATTGTGGAACAATACATCAAACCGCCACTGCATGGCCTCCATAGGTATATTTATAATAATTATCAGCCTTAAATCTTATCCCAAATCTCTCACCAACTCTCCCACAATATAAATCTGGTCTCCTTTTTCACTCTAACAAGTAATTTATCAATGTTGCTCTTGAAGATGGCTTTACAGTTAATTGGATCCCTCTTACTGTTGAAGCAGTTTCTTTGTCTCCATACAAACATGGTTGGTATTTTAAGTAGCAAGAGAAATGTGGCATCGAAGGCTTGTCCTGAGATAGCCAATTACATTACAGGGAGGGAATGTAGCTTCTGTCTCTGCATTTCTTCTGCAATCTTTATGCGGAGTAAAAAAGGTTAAATACTTGTGGATGTTTTTTTTGACTGAATGCAAATTATTTTCCCCTATAGCACTGTATGTAATTAGCTTTGTGATGTTTGATGGTGAAGTGATGTTAACGTTCTGATAGGTCATCTATGTACTGTAAAGTAGGCTGTGTTTTTGTTATGTGGAAGTGCAATCTGTGCCCTACTGGTATGCCTCTCACCTCTAATTGCCCTGTACTCCTCTGACAGGCCCTTGAAAGTGAGTTTGTGTCATGTCAGCTGCATCAGTGGATTGACCTTATTTTTGGCTACAAGCAGCGAGGCCCAGAGGCAGTGCGTGCCCTCAACGTCTTTCACTACCTGACTTATGAGGGCGCCATCAACCTGGACAGTATCACTGAACCTTCGCTCAGAGAGGTAAAGCACACACATACATCACTATGGTGACCGAGCCCCTCCCTCTCTCCTATTATTCACCATAGGCGCAACTTCCTGTCGCTATTTGTTCTGGCATGTGCTGTAGCTCCAGGAGCATTCAAACCATGCATCAGTCAATCAATTATTGTGCAGATGTAACCTGTGAGAGCTGCTGACTAACTGAGTTTGCTTGGAGCTTAGTGTAATTTTGAGATTACCTGAGTTATTAATTAACTTAATCCTTTAATATCAGTCCATAGTGTTCATAGATCTTTTTCCTAACTTAATTAGGATTCTGTGCTCTTCTCCTTTTGGCGTTGAGTATACTGTGTGTCCCTTCCCTTTATCAGAGCAATGTATCTGACTGAGCTCTTTTATCAGTCACTAGAGGTCAGTCGGTCAATAGATGAGAGAGTGAATCCTCTTGTTCTTAACTAATAAACTGAATATCTATTAGCTCAACCATACTACTCTTGAATAGCTTAATTGCATATAGGGGAAAGGGGACCAGACACTACAGCAGCTGGCATGCATTGTGGTACTTTCAGTGTAAGCTCGTCTCTCCCTGTGATATCCACCATCTGCTGTCTGCAAAACAAGTCATTTATATACTGTCACTTCCAGGGGCGCCTTTATTTATCAAGTGACCACTATGCAAATCCCCTGCAGAAGATTTGGCTGATCTAATTACCAAATTATACTGTGAAAGGTTTGGTTTTTATCATTTCAAAGATTTTAGAAGATGCATTTTTTTCCACTTTACATCAAGTTGAGGAGTGTTTAGCTGTCTTCCACCCTGCCTGCTCTTACCCTCAGAGATGACAGTACTGTTAGTTAGTTGGGAAACCTGCTACTCGGACTCCCTAATTGTGCCCAGTTGATGTAGTCGCTATTGTGACATGTGAATTTATTTGTGCTAAAGAACGGAATTGGCTCTGCTAATTGCAAGTAATGTAATGTTGGTATGATGAGCACTAATTAAGACAAGCCTTCATACCCTCAGTCATGTTTCTCATTCCTGTTGGATTCTTTTTCTCCCTGTAACATAAAGTATAACCAGATATATCTAAACCTCATATATTAAAAATCACAAATATCCTCAAAATGCATAATGGACAAGTCTATTAAATAGAGATGTTAAAATGTAATTATTTTCTTTCATACACAAGGTGAAAAAAGGGTTTATTGGAAATTATAAAATAATTTTTCAAGTCTCCTGCATCCCTGAAAAACATGAAGTGTACAGTAGTCCCTCGAGTTTATGTGATTACAACAGATGCTTTGCTGTAAAATGACTTAAGTCAGTCTATGATAATTTGGTACATTAGATGATTTCCTGCAGGATTTTTTTGTACCACTATTCCTGTCACTGTTTACCACTTTTCCTGTCCTCTGAGCCTAGTTTGAGGCAGTGAGGTGGAGCATGGAAAAGTGCCCATTGAATGTCTCGATAAGGCCCGCTGAAATGTGATGATTGCCTCTGGGGTATTGATTCATTCTGGGCCTGACAGGTGAAACTGCAGATCTGGCATTAGTCACAACAATTAAGGCATTTGAAATGTCAGAAAATTAGAGGTCATGAGAAATGATTTCCATCCATATGTCAGATGGAAATGATCACACTCTCTGACATGCCACCGGGCCTCCGGTTGAGGACACGGTGACAGCTCTACTGGGCACGCTGCCGGAACAGCAGTACTTTGCTGTGATGCTTCTCTTGACAGCCTTCTCTTATGGAAAACATGACAGCAGCCCCTTGATTCAGACCCTGCTGTGTCACTCAGAAACAAACAGACAAATTATTCATCTGTATGACTGTGTTCCTCCTCAGCTGCCACTGCCCCTCCCACCCCCTCTGAATCAACAAAGACAACAAAAGTGTGCCAGTGCTAGCCAGTGAACCAGCTGACACACTTTAAATTGATTTCACCTTGATATTGTCATGGTGATGGGACACAAGTATTTAAGTACTTGACCTAAATGAAAAGTAACTCCCTCCATACTGCAAATGCTTCCATACAGCACTATATAGGATTCAGTGTGCATTCACTGATGATACTGTAGCTGCATTAGACATCACTTAGACATTTCTGCTCCTACATACCATAGTGCACATGTTAACTCCCAAGCTGTCAGTCAAGAAACACCCTCAGGGCAATTCTTTGTTAGTACTTAAGGGTTCAAATAAATACACATAACCTCATCTTAAAAAAATTTCCCTGGCATGCAAAGAATGGCCAGCAGTGTCATCAGTGATGTCATTTTATGAAAAAATGACGTCATTACACAACAGTTACATGAATGCTTTGTTTGTATGTATTTGAATGTTGCCTGAATGATTTCTGTGCTGTTTTTGTTCTGTTTACACTACTTGAAAGCAAGAAGTACTTTGCTGTCTGTTGTCTACAGCATCTGTCAAAGGGTGAAAGGTGGAGCAGCTTCATATTTGTAGTTGCCATTGCTGATCTCAGGTGTCATGACTCAGCATGATCCCACACTGCTTAGCGGGTCAGCACAAGGTCGTGTCTGCATTCTGTCTGACAGAGCTGTTGTGTTGCTGCATTGCATGGGTGCGCTGGAGGATGCTGCAAAAGTGACCCTCCTCCATGGAGGCTCTGTCACCAGTTTGGGAAACAGGCAGCAAACAGAGAGACAGCCACTCACCTCTGAAGCATTTTCCTCATGCAGAAATCGGATGTGAACAAAGCCAGAAAGACAGACAGACAGACAGGTCAACACAGTGTTATAATGGATGCTACAGTAGTTGCTCACCCAAGCAAGGCAGTTGTGGCTGGGAGGGGAAATAATTCCGTTATCAGCCAAAAAGCAGAGCCTGAAGTGACTTAAACTAATGAACTTGTTAAGTGCTCTCCATCCCAGACTGAGATAGAGATACGTTTCTGACATACCTCAGGATTAAGATTAGTTTTGAAGCACCTGAGAGATATTGACAAGCTTTGATCATTTAGTGGAAGAACATGTTCTTGAGTTAACCTTCAACAAATCAGACCCCCTTCACCTGACAAAAAACACCTACACACAGACCCCCACCTCTTGTACCCTGGAAATAACTGCTTGAAGTCAATATAAATTAATGTTGACTAAGACCACCAAAACTGGACATGCAGCAACCTTGTTTCATTGGTAACAGTCATCAAAAGAAGCATGATGTTTTCCACATGGCCCTCTCACCTTTTCTTAATTTTTGTATCAAATTTCTTTATTTGAACAGGCATTATGACCCTCAACCCAAACCTAACTTTAAATAACTGTAATAAGCTGTAATGTCAGTTGCTTATTACTTGACAGACTGTGCTGTAAAGAAACACTTAATACTTGTCAAATGTGCTTACTAGCTCACATGAACCTTCCACTGCTGTACGACAGCACCTTTTTTGGTGCTGTGGAAGACAGGATGTGACCAAGGGGCAACTGTTTGGCTTGCAGGTGGCCTGTCCTAATTCAGTTTCACCTCCAAACTTCCTGTGCCACATCTCCCACTGTGGCATGTGCTACCCAATGGGTCCTTTTGATAGTGAGTGGTGTGTACAGGCGGAGGAAAATGAGGGTTAGTCATCCAGGCAGTCAGAAGGGTGGGCGAAAGGCTGAGCGATGTATGTTCTATTGTGCACAGTGGCATTGACGGACATCTACAAGCTCCCCTCTGATGGTGGAAGTGGCTCCAGTCACATCAATCACTCCCACTGTGGAGTGCCCCACTTTCAGTCAAGCTCAGCAGCTCTTACTGCTTGTTTTTTATTTATTTATTTTTTATTCTCTCTCAGAGTCAAAGGAAAACATTTGTCCATTTTAGTGGAAGTTATTTTCTAATAATAGTAAGGACTTCATTCCTCAAGTGTTGTTTCCCCTCTACTGAGGGTGTAATTTGTGCTGTTTTTAGTTTTTCCCTTCTCAGTCAGAAGCATTCAGATTTGTAGTTCATACCCTATATATCATCCATCGTCAAGGTATACATACCCAAATAGCCACAGTATGCTTGAGTGATTTTGTGCTGTTGTTTCATACACGTGTATGCATGCACATGCTTTTCACCATTGTTTCAAGCACAGTAACGTCTAAAAGTGGGCCTGCCTGCTGCAGCCCTAGCTAGATGTCACTCCAGGTTAACGTTTGTGCAGTTGGGGCCCCTGTGCCTGGAAATGGGAATGGTTAACTGAAGCATGTTAATAGGAAAAGGCTTGTCTCTTCCATACTAACACTTGGATGACTCTGCAAGCAGAGGGGGGAGGGGGGAGCACCCAGGCAGATTGGGAGTGCACCCCTTTCCCTTTACCTCCCCCCCTTCCTCAGAGGCATGGCTGAGTTAGGATTTGCTTGCATTGTCAAGTAACGCATTGACCCATCACTTTGATGCATATTGATTGTGACAGCCGCTCTCTCTCTCCTTCTCCCCTCTCTCTCTCTCCCGCAGGCTACAGAGGCACAAATCCAGAGCTTTGGACAGACGCCATCTCAGTTGCTTATTGAGCCACATCCTCCACGCAGCTCCGCCATGCACCTGGTGAGAGCAATGAGCAAACTGGGAAAATTCCCTGCACCTTTGGTAGTGGTGTGTGAGGCAAGATGTATGGACCGTGTAAGCCTGCGTGGTGTGTGTTACTATGCTTGTGTTTGTAGGTAGACACGAGGCTGAGATAGATGTCCCTGATTTCTCACTTCAATATATTTCATTCACTCTACTCTGTTATAACAAATGATAAATATTTCAGAAATTTTACTTCATGTAGGTCACAGACCCGCAATATAACAACAAATTTTCAGTGGCAGTTGTCTGCGCTATTTTAAAGCTGTTACTGCCTACTAACACTGTGGTGTAAAGGGAAGAGTGCTCCCTACTGGCGTAGTGGCTTCCCTCCCTATGCTGTAAGCTGCTCTTCCCTGTTTAATCCATGTAATAGTCAGCCTAACCCTCGTTATCCCTGCATGGATCCCTCTGTTTCTTTTTTCCTACACAAAACGTTGTAAGAAAGATCCCATTGAAACGTTTTAGTTTAGTTTTTTACTTTTGCAATGTTTTCATCCACTTCTGTCAAAAACCTCCAATAAGGGTTAAAGTCAAATCTGGTTCAGAATTCAGAGTACTGTCAGTATTATGATTTATTCCTACCACACATGTACATGCGGTTTACACATTTTCAAAAACGGAAAAACAGATGCAATCTATTTAATGTTTCTTCTTTGTGGACCAAAATGAATCTTTCTAATGTGTATCATGAATGCTCCACTTCATACTATATGTACAACCTACTCCATTGTCCATGTCTTACCTTTGTCTGTCTGTACTGTCTGGTGGGGGCAGTGCATAAAGCTCTCCTCTGTCTGAACCTAGTTTTTCCTCCAACCTTCACACTAATTGCCTCTTTCCATTCTTCTTCTCCCATCTTTTCATAACCATTTTTCATCTTCTCATCGCCTGCCTTCCTGGCCCTTCCCCTTCCTGTTTCTCTTTCCTTGTACTCCTCCTCTCCTATCATCACACCCCTTCATCCTTTTCCCACACACCGTCTTTTTCTCTCTTCTACTCAATAGTGTTTCCTTCCACAGAGTCCTCTCATGTTTAAGGATCAGATGCAGCAGGATGTCATCATGGTGTTGAAGTTTCCCTCCAATTCACCGGTAACCCATGTGGCTGCCAACACCTTGCCCCATCTTACCATACCTGCAGTGGTTACCGTCACTTGCAGCCGTCTATTTGCTGTCAACCGATGGCACAATACTGTTGGTGAGTTGTGCTCTGCTCACATGGGAGGTGATATGTACAAACATACACATCCGATGGCACAATACTGTTGGTGAGTTGTGCTCTGCTCACATGGGAGGTCATATGTACAAACATACACATACATGAGTCCTTGTTAAAAAAAAAAAAAAAAAGTGCCATGCCACACATGTGATGCCTACCACAGCAGCAGTCCTGTAAAATCAATTCATCACACACAAGCCTGCCCACTGCTCTTAATAGAGCTGTAGCCAGCTGGCTGTGTGAGAGGCTAGCACCTCCCAGGTAAGCTGACCATGAGTGTTTCCACATGTTCCATTTGAGACGTGTGTGAACAACATTACCCACAGAATCCATGCTTGAAAATCAGCCTCACCTTAGGGTCAGAAGGCCAAAGCAATGGTTACTTATAAATTAAACCACAACTGCACCACATTCTCCTCACACATCCCCATCTGTCACTGTAGAAACACCCTGAGCTCAGGACCAAAGAGTCTGCACTGCGTGGCTGTTCCCACACTAATGAACCCTTGCCATCTTGTTGAAGAGGAGGGAAATGTGGTTTGGCTTTTCAGAGTAATGATGATAACAAGGCCTCCATATTTTCAAGCATGTTGCTGTTTCATAACTGACTCCAGATAGTTCCTTACATGGATAAAGTATCTACATCCAGTTTCACACACTGGAGGGGAGGGCAGTAAGACAGATGGAAATTTTTCTGATGGGCCTGCAATACTTCCATTCCCTGGAAGAGATTATGAATTGATTTGGCTCTGAAAATAAAACAAGTGTGTATTTAAGAATGCACATGTGCATTGGTTAGAAATAGCCTGAATCATTCCTTCCCTTATGTATTCCTGTCTGAATCCAGGTCTCCGAGGAGCACCAGGCTACTCTCTGGAGCAGGCCCATCACTTGCCCATAGAGATGGATTCTCTGGTTGGTGAGTAAGCTTCATTGATTTGAATGGAAAATGCAGCATTCAATTAGACAATTCATGGTTGACTTTTATATTTGTTTTAGCTCTAAGGGTCTTAATTAATCACATAAAAATTACTTGTAACACCTCAAGTATTGGCCTGTGTTCTGTTTTTCCTTTTTATCCACAGCCAATAATACTGGAAGCAACAAGCGTCAGATCACAGACCTGGTGGACCAGAGCATCCAAATCACCACACATTGTTTCGTGGTGACAGCTGACAACCGCTACATCCTGGTGTGTGGCTTCTGGGACAAGAGCTTTCGTGTGTACTCCTCCGAGACAGGTAGGTTACAGTGTAAACTCTATTTCCTATATAGGTGTGCACTGATGTGTGGAGGACTGAATGTTTTGATGGGAATAATACAGTATCATTGCTGCTCTCTCCTGACAAGCCTTGTAGAAAAATGGATGACTAAACTGTAGTCACCGGATCTCAGTGATAAGTACCTTTCCACTGAATGCAGTTCAGTGGGAAAATGATAATTCTGACTAAAATATAAATGATTTTCACTGAAGCCCAAAGGGCCCCCATTTAATCTTTTGATTCTAAACTTGGGGTTTATGTCTTCCCCTATGGGGGTTGATTCTGAGGTCACAAAAGAAATGAAAAAATGTATTCATTAATTGATATAATACTCATTTTACTAGAGTCAACAAAGTTTTGCATTTCAAGCTATTACAAGCAATTTTTGCCACTACCTATCTATATCCTCTTTAGGTAAACTGAGCCAGATTGTTTTTGGACACTGGGATGTGGTGACATGTCTGGCCAGGTCAGAGTCTTACATCGGAGGAGACTGCTACATCATCTCTGGATCCAGGGATGCTACCCTGCTGCTCTGGTACTGGAGTGGACGGCACCATATTATCGGCGACAACCCCAGTAACAGTGAGTACACATACAGTATGTTGTGCACACACGTTGAACACAAAGTAGCGTTGCCCTTCGAACAAGTTACAGAAATCTTTTTATACTGTTCAGTATTTCTCCTGTGAAATATAGGAATAGGAAACAAGTCTTTGATCAACACTGGAAAAAGGCACCCTGCTCTAGAAATCACATAATGTGGAGACAGGGAGAGGATCATTTATCTTAGCTTGATTTATCATGTTGAGCTGTGCTGCTTTCAAGATTTGAGATTTCTTGCCATTCCAAATGGCTGATCCCAGTGTGTGACTTCTGCTCCTAATCAGGTTTAGTTGCTCGTTCTCACTGATCATCTGTGTTCAAAACAATCCATCAGGACAGATGAAGCAGCTGTCACATTACTGTACAATAATGAGCGCCATATATGGTGTGGAATGGAAAAAGTGAAGACGAGGGAGACAGCATGTTTTTATTTTCTTTCTGGGTGACAATGCAATGCGAGTGTGCACACTAGAAGATCCATTTGGCACAGATTCTAGGAGCTTTGGATTATTGAGAGTGTTCTCTAATTAACTTCACTGAGGCTCCGACAGTTAATTAAGAATTTCAGCTTGGTTGCCTCCAATTAGCAAGGGGCAATAGCACTTGTGTTACTGCAGCAGGAAAACAGTACTCCCCTGATATACAGTGCATTTTCAACAGACAAACGAGAAGGAAACTACATTATCTCTTGAAACAAAAAAACAGGATGTTTTCACTCAATCAAGTCATTCTCCATCTCATCAATATTTCATCAGTATACTGTAAAATAATCTACCATGGTTAAAGAATGCAGAGCGCTAGATGTGTGGGAACCTGAAGTTTGTTTGTGAAGAAACAGGGGTAGTGCAGTGGAAATTGATTTTGAGTCAGCTAAAAATGTTGCATGCTCTATGCTTCATACTGCTATATACAAATCTCTCTATCCTATCCAGTCATGTTAAAATATAGATGGCAGGAATTTGCAATGACCTTTAGGAATAAAACCACTGCCACCTTTTCATATCTTCACACCTAAAGCCCTTATGTTAATGTGTTGAAGCACACAGAGCACTATAGTCCTTCACCTGTGCCCCAAAATGGTCCATGGGTTTTAAATGTGTAATAATTAAAATAACTTGCAGCTCAGTCATGGCCCTGCCGCTCAGACTCAGCCCATCATACTGGTGTGAGGGGATATTTGCACCAGGTAATTGTGGTGGCTGAATCCAGCTTGTCCCAAGGGCTCAGACAGGGTTGGGGGTGTGTGCTACAAGGTGACTGAATCTTTTGTCGGGTAGGTGAGCTGCACTAGGTCCCTTTTTCCCCTTGGAGGCTTTTTCTGACACTTGTCCTATTCAGCCCCCCTCAGCAGCAGGTGCTTGGACTGACAGCTCTGCTCAGGTCCTAGTCTCTAAGGGGCCGTGCTGCATCGATCACAGTCCAGCTCACTGACCCGACCGCTATAGCTGCAGTGGTGATATGTCAAGCTGGAGGAGGAGGTGATGGTGGGGTAAAGTGGATACGAGACGAGAGAGGTCTGACACATGTCCATGTCATCTATCAGGATGTTACTGTCATCTAGGTAGATAGAGAAACTTTCACCGAATTGGCTGAACTTTGAGTTGCACATGGACAGCAGCAGCTCCAAATAGAATATTCAGAGTTTGCTCAGTTTGCCATCACTACTGAGCTAAAAGGTGACATTTATAACAACCCACAAATATTAGGGCCCCCACAGTTAGGAGTAGAATAATGTTATTTAAAAAAATTTAATATAAAATGTTAAAATCACATTCAAAATAATAATTTAAAATGTAGAAGGCTAAAGTATTATCTATGGCTCCGCATTCATGGTCCCATTTTTATCTAAATATTAATTTTACACCATTCCTCTGCTTCATTGGCTACATTTGCTCTGCAATCCCTCACTTGTTGTTAAATATGTCATTTTCAACAATTACATTGATTTATTAATTAATTCAATGGCATCAATGCTTTGTATGCTCCTTTTATCAAAATTATTGACTAAATAATGAAAAGAAAAGTAACTCCCACAGCAGTGTTCAAGGAAAGGATGAAGGTTTTTGTATTGGTGATCAGTGCATTTCAGTAAATCTAGCACTTTCAAGCTTCAGGCACCATTCTGGTGACTCCAGGTGCCATGAAACTCCCCTCACTAACCTCTCCCCTGGCCATCATCAATCATGTGACACGTGGGATGAAATCATGTGGCTAGGCTGCCACCGTTCAACATCCCTACATTTACATGACAATTCTAAGGGATCTCCCTGCTAGCAAACGTGCCACAATCACCGTGCTTGTGTTACTGTGATTTTATTGCCTAATGAAGATTTGTTGGTTATACAGAAATCCCTATTCAGGAATGCAGCATACTGACCAGTTAATTAAGATTACCAGTCAGTATGCCCCTCAGGTATTCATGCTCTTTAGTGATGTTTTCAGTTTCAGACATTATATTGAATCAGTCAAGCCATGTTTTTAATGATAGTATGTATCTGTTGTTTTTGAGGTGACTACCCAGCACCACGAGCGGTTCTGACAGGTCATGACCAGGAGGTTGTATGTGTGTCAGTCTGTGCAGAGTTGGGCCTAGTCATCAGCGGAGCCAAAGGTCAGTGTGCTTCTGTTTTTGCTTTCCATGTCATTGTCATCAAAAGGAAAGATGAAGTCAGGGACACTTATGCTTTGAGCTGACATACGGTACTACAGGTTAGTACTCTATGTCAAAAGGTATGTGTGTTTCATTTTGGTAGAGGGTCCATGTCTGGTCCACACCATCACAGGGGATCTGCTGCGGGCTCTGGAGGGGCCAGACCACTATCAATGCCCACGGCTCATCTCAGTGTCCAGCGAGGGCCACTGTATCATCTATTATGAGAGGGGCCGTTTCTGCAACTTCAGCATTAATGGAAAACTGCTGGCACAGATGGAGGTCAATGATTCCACCAGGGTAAGCTGACTGACACCACTATATTCCATGAAAGACTTGCCTCTTACACCAAGTCATTTCGCTAAAACACTGCATATTAAGTGATTGCTTAGTGTTATCATTTGGTTATGATGATGATGGCAATGCGCTTCGGGGTGTTTATTAATTACTGCCTGACTTGGGAGGTTAAAAAAGCATTGTGAAAATGTTGGGAAAAAGGCCGGCAAGGCCAAGGATTATACTATATAGTCCAAAACATATATTCTCCTGTCAGGATTTGGAGGTATGATTGTACAGATATGCTTAGTAAAACAGTATGAATAATCCATCTTAAATTTGTACACAAAAGTTTAATTAAACATTGGTGCTTTGTGTCATTCTCATACTATATCACAAATGTTGGTCATCGAGTTGTGTACATAATCTCAAATTCATTGATATCTTTTACTTGCTGCAGCAAGAAAACCACTCCCTAGAAGTGTACATAAAAGTTGACTCCCGATTCCCCCTCTATCCTTCCTGTAGGCAATTCTCCTGAGCAGCGATGGCCACAACCTGGTGACAGGTGGGGATAATGGTGTGGTGGAGGTGTGGCAGGCCTGTGACTTCAAACAGCTCTACATCTACCCAGGTTGTGATGCTGGCGTCCGAGCCATGGACCTATCACATGATCAAAGGTGAGAGCAAGCACTGGTGCAGTAGTAACGGGAGAGTAGGCCACTGCGAGAGTGTTTTGCAGAGAGCCATCTTACATAGTTTCCATTACTGGGGCATCTTCTGGTAATGCACTCCTTTTAGATAAATAGGCAACAGCGAGCACAGGTATGTACTGTACAAATCTGTTGGCAGGTCAGCAGCATTTTTTTCCTCTCTGTGTTTAAATTCTGCAAGATTGGTCAGAAGTCATAATGGGTGCCTACATGGTGGCACAGAGGCGACAATGTTCACTCTGGGGCAATAAGCCTGACGTCATCATGTGACCCTGGCAGTCAGAGGTTAGAAAGTGAACATTCAAGCTGCTTTTCATAGCCACTGGCCAAATCCCCCTCAGCTCTTACATTCTGGGCCAAAACAAAAGCCTAGTTCTTAAATTAATTCTGCGCCATGACTATGGAGGTAAAATTCTCTGTTAACTAGCCACACGAGTATTTGGTGATTTACAAATACAGTGAAGATTACAAATGTGTGAAAAAATGATTTGTGCATACTCTCATGGAGGCCACAAATGTACAGTATGTCTGATCTACAAAAAACTCAGGTTCAAGGATTTTATTGTCAATTCACCATATGTGCAGGACATACAGAAAATTTAAATACCGTTTCTCTCTCACCTAGTATTGTACAAATGGGTAAAAATGATTTGTGTGCATCTCTCATAATAACCACAACAGAACTGCATTGCAGTCACTATAGAAAATAAAATTGGGGGATCTTATCCCTTAATTATGAGATCTTTTTCTCATAATTACTGTATGAGATAATACAGGGGTTGGAACACTGTAGATGTTGCGAGTTAATAGCTAATTTGGCATACTTAGTGTTCCAAAATATAAACAAATGTAGGCTACAATAGACCTCAAAGTTGCTACCTAAAGTAACTCACTACATGTATTGAGCAGGAGTTGGACTTGAGAAACATTGGGTTTTTAAGATTTCTTCCTTATTAACTCAATTCTGTCAGTACATACAATAGCACACAGCAAACATGAACTGATAATAGTTCATTCAACATACTTAAAACTGCTAAAAACTGTTTTGCAGCATTCCAACCCCTGCATTATTCCATAATTATGAGAAAAAGATCTGGTAATTATGAGCTCCGGATCAAGATGTACAAATGTGTAAAAACGATTTTCTGCGTGCAGTTATTTAAAATATATTTATAGATTGTTAGTTGTGGATGCACAGGTCACCTGACACATGTGGATCATGTTACACATGTGCAAAGTTTTCATAATATTTTTTACCTTGTGGCTGTGGCTCACACGAGGTAGGGCAGTTGTCTCCTGACGTGGTTCGACTCCTGGTCTCCCCGCATGCCTAAGTGTCCCCGAGCAAGACACTGAACCCCGAATTGCTCCCGGTGGCTTGACTAGCGCCGTTGTGTGTCAGCCTTTCGTCATCATTGTGTGAATGTTTATAATGCGATACAAACATGTTCTGATTAAAAAGAAGATAAAGCTACATGACACTGGAATCAAATCAAGAAGTGATGAGCAATTTGATCTCTTTAGAAAAGCTAAACATTGTGTTTTCCACCAATCCTTAAACACAGCATACAGTTGTGAATCTGTGAGGAGAAAATACTGGCAGGCAAGCCTAATGTGATCTGTGTGTCAGGCGATATGTGCATCCAACCTTTGACATTTGTAAGTCATGATTTTATTTGTAGCTTGATGAACAAGCATGTGTGGCCTTCATGAGACATGCAGAAGTTATTTTTTTCTTCAACACCTTTATAATGACTATGTCATTACAAAATGTGTATTTGTTATGAGAGAATTTTATGGACATTAAATCCCTGCAAAAACACTTGAGGATGCCCTAATCACCGTTTGAACGCTGCACACTTTGCAACTCAGCATTTGAGAGCACGCAGGCAGAGCTTTGTTAAGAGCAGAATCAGATTTGAGTACATAATCTCAGCTTTGTCTGCACTCGTTTCCAAGTCTGCGTTCTCAGATTTCTTCAATGGGACTTGTGTGAAAGTCTCAGTGCCAAGAGTTTTGAAAATACACAAAAGTTGTGAGCGCTGTTCAGTTTGCAAATGAGAATGCAAGTTTGTGCAGGCATTTGTAAGAGCAGAAACAAATTTAAGAGCAAGGTAATCCTCTGTTATGCTGACAATTCTCTCTGCTCTTACAAATCCATGCCTGCATGCGCTCAAATTCTGATTTGCAAAATGAAGTGTTCACAACTTGTTTGTGCAGTTTCAAATATGATTCTGCACTTAAAAAAATCTGTGCCTGCATGCTCTCAAATGTTGACTTGCAAACAAAATGTGTTTCGTGCGCCCTCAGATGTTTTGGCAGTGATTTAGTTCCATAGAATTTTATCCCCATGCATAACTGGATAACCAGTTAAGGTACTGTAAGCAGAAGCTGTTAAAAGGGATGAAGTTTGTTAATAGATCTTTTTTTTTTTTTTTTTGATTTAAACTAAATGATAAATTACACCAGTCACTCTCCTTCCTTAAAAAGTTGGCGTTAGGTAAAACAAGTGAGCTGTGCTTCGTTATTCCACTTACAGGGAGGCATTCTGCTGCAGCTCTGTTCATTGTGCTTGAGCATTTAAGCCCTTGGGGTGTAGCAGTACAAGACAACCCTGTGAAATCAGCTGCTTTTCCTACATACCAGTCAGCCATGGACAAGAGGGCAAAGGGGCTGCAGAGACACGCTGGGACTCAATGGTGTACTTCAGTTGGCAGAGGAACCCAGTAATTTATTGTCACAGCCCCTGATGACCTCCTCTTCTCATTTTATTCACAGCTAGGGACATATTAACAAACTGTTCATTTGCACTAGAATAATCTTTAACAATGAACTAATTTTAATACATGGGTTGTTGCTTATAAAAACATTTTACATAAAATCATCTACATAAAGATTAAATCAATAGTTTTTGTTTTAAGCTGCTCTAGCTAATCTTTAGCCATTAGAGGGTGAGTGAGAATCGAAACAAGCTCTGGTAGTAACCCCTCCTCTGCTCCCTCTGTTCCTCATACACTGCCCAACCCCAACCACAGTCCATTAGCCGTAGCACCTGTACGCAAATCAGTGCAACACTTCATAAACATACCATGAAGCTCAAAATGTTTGTTTTTGGTGAAGTTGCCAAATGTATAAATTCAATTTTATTTATTATTGAGACCATAGTTAAAGGTGGTGTTCTAATGGACTACATTATATTTAGAGGTGTTTCTATATTTTTGTTCTCTCCAGCAACATACATGAGAGGGTCAGAATATTAGGAACCCCTCTGATTATAATGCAGTCCAGTACAACACCACCTTTAACTATGACCTCATTAATAAACATAATTGAATTTATACATTTGACAATTTCAGAAAAAACATTGAGTTTCATAAACAATGTCAAAGCAGAAGTGTTGCAGTGACGTGCATACAATTGAACAGGTGCGACTATTAATGGGGCCGGGCAGTGTATGTGGTAACTGGAGCCATCTACAGACTTGGCAGCTCAGCAGTAATATTAACACGTACGAAATATAGCCCATAGTGCCCGTGGTTTACGGTGGCATGGGTAATTTTTCCCTACCTAAAGCGGTAACACAAGCAAATTATACAAAAGACTTTTTTCCCAGTAATATTGTTACAGTAATTTTCTGGCCACTGTTGCACTGTGTTACTTGACAAAAAACATTACAAGGCAACCGTGAGTTATATGTTGAGAGAAATTTCATGTTGCGCTTTGATAGCTGAACAAACTCTCCATTTTTATAGTTGTGTTGATGGCGTAAATTTTAATGCTACTTTCACTAAAATGCTACAATGGACTGTTACACGTGATGTAAACAAACTGTGTGGCCTGGACAGAAACTGAACAAAAATTTGTTTACTTGTTAATCCAGGAAAATGTGCTGGTTCCCGCTAATTGGACAACAAAACACTATATTTGGAATGACTGCAAATTACAACTAGAATAATTCAGTACTAAGGCACAAAATTGAAAAGCTAACGTTAGCTTGGTAATGATGCCAACATATACATGTTAGTTACTTACACATCTGTAAGGAAAAAACCACATCTGCGTCAAATTTTAGTCCTTTGGATGTCTTTAATGCTCTCCATCTCCAACATGCCAAATCGATCTTAGCTCTGGTTTTGCCTCATTCTTTGTCGCACTGTTCCTGTGCTACAGCACTGATCTGAGGTTAGATGTGTTTTTCTAACAGACCTGCCTGTTAGACCTAAGGTCTGTGGTCTGTCTCTGAAATGAGCCATACTGGTTTGAAAAACATCTATAACCTCAGATCAGCCTGGCAGAAGTGCGGTCTGGATTTTAACAACACTGGCCACAGAGGCCAAGAAATAAACAAGGCCTGAAGATAGAGTAGGATGGGAGGGTTTAGTACAGCAGGGAGAAAACGCTTCTAGAGAATCTTTTGCTCAATTTCTCCGAATTTGTGCTAAATCTTAGTTAATGCAGCTTTAAGTGTGGTTTTCTATCTTTCCACATTTCTAGGTTGATAATATCCTTGTTGACGCTGGGATTTTCTTGCTTTTGCTGTTTTTCTAGGACTCTGATCACAGGTATGGCCTCTGGCAGTATTGTTGCATTTAACATCGATTTCAACCGGTGGCACTATGAGCATCAAAACAAGTATTGAGGAAAGAGGGAGCTACACAGCAGAGGACAAGTGTGGAGGGTTAAGGGGAACACCTACCAACCAGTGAGGGAGCTGTGCTGCAGAAGCTCCACAGAGCATGAAGGAACCAGAGGGGTGGAGAACATCGTGTGCTTACATGAGTTCATCTGGCCTCTTGCACCAACTGAGCACCAGCTGAAGCATTTCCCCACCTGAGTCAAACAGGTTTGTTGTTCTGGACAAGGGGAGACTGGGATTAAGTTAACACAATTACACAGATTAACAAGTTCCTCTTTCAAACTGTGAAAATGCAAAACAAAATGAAGCCTGCATTAGGAACATTTATACAACATTTGTATGGCAGATACATATCTCACTCGGAACACTTTTCTAGGAAAATAACGTTAACCTGTAAATATGGACAATGTTAATTAAAAGCTAAAATAAAGATCTAAATGCAGTTAGACTAGACACCATGTTACCAACATTTCCATCATATGAGCCATGTATAAATGTTAAGGTTGTCTTCACTGCACTTCAGACGTATCTGTAATACATGTGTATGACCATTGTTTGCTCATCGTTACTAACAGTGGTCAAATGTATGTGTACGTGAAAAGAGAAAGTGTCCATTGTTTGTGTTTGAATGTCTAAACTAAAGAAAAGTAATTCAATATGAGTTTAGTGATTTGTGAAATATGTTTTTGGTCACAATGTCAGCAAAAGGATAAATTGTGATATTGCCATACTTACCTTTAAATTGAGGACTATTTTGTTTAATAATGGCGAAGATTAAAAGTACTTACTGCAAGAGCTTTAAATGATTCAAATGGAACATTTAGAACAGCATTGATCTTTTATTTTCTTCCAAAAATGTATCCTGATGCTTAAATACCAGATTTGTTGGATACCATTTCATGATTGTTTGTAAAAGTATCATTTTAGAGTTATTCTGTAGTTTTAGGCCCTGCAAACATTAATGCTATTACTTGTGTATATCAGTTTTTCATTCTGAGTAAACTGTTTGCTCATCCATTTTAAATCTGAATTGTGAACATCAGTTTATGCTGTAACATCTTGCATTGGGAGGCAATATTATGACTTGGATGCCGACAAGATTTGAGGAGGAGGGTTTTCAGCTGGGTGACAAAAATTATCCAATGTTGAACGGGATGGTGTTCCAAAAGTGACTGTGGTCTATTTTGGGTACTATCAGAGCTACTGTGGTGGCTATTAATTGCAGAAATGAAAAGTCGGCTGCTGTGAGCTGACAAAATATGCAAATAGATTTTAGCTTTCTTTCTGATTTTCTTGCAGTGCTGCAAGACACCACCCTCCCCAAAGCTGAAGTTTTGCATGCAAAGAAACCATTTCATTGTTTGACTAAATTTTGATTATATGTAATACAAGTTTTACAATGTCACGATTGATACAGTTTAGTTAGCTTCTGTGATTAAATCAACTTAAATTCAACTGCTTTTTTAAAATAAAACTGAATATAACAGCATCATGTTATTTCTTGTTGATATCTTTTGGTTTATAAACTACCTCTAAAGATTCATGCATGTATTAATGCATTTCCCATATCAAACTATAGCTCAGCAAATTAATGCTATACATGAATGATATTGGAACTGTAGATGAGTTTAGCTTGTTTGGTTATATTGCCATCTGCTGTCCTTCCAGGTTTGTTGCAATGGAACCACTAAACCTGCAGTAAGTTGTCTGAAGATAAGCTCCTGACCCAGAGATTAATTAAATACTTTTTTTATTCCCAGGTCTGGTTTTGGAGTACATTGTTGGATGTTTGCTTTTTAACCATAACAGATTTTCCCCATATAAATTCAAAACAAGTGTATTACAGTTTAAAATTCAGACTGTATTTTGTCCTTACATTAATGGAATATAATACAGCATTCACATTCGCCATCTGCTTCAACAAAACATTTTCAGTTGTCTTTGCATACCATCTATAAACATGATCTTTTAAGATGATGAAAACCACAATCTCGAGAGCAAACATTCCCAAACAGTCATCGTCACTATCAACTTTCTTTCCTTGTGCTTTCTGACTCAGCCCCTTCACATCAAAAACTTAAAAGCCCTTAACAAGTCAGTGGATTGATATTACATTCCTGTTAAAATACATACATATATACACCCATACACATACACACACACTTCTCAGCTCAGCTGTGGTATTACTAGTCTGCCTTATCTTAACTGCATTCACCAAAAGCTCATACAGTGGCAAGAGAAGTGGAATCATATCTATTTGGTGTATATCAAAAAGTAAAAGACCGGAGCTGACTGGGATGCATATTAGCAAACATGCAAGTTACAGCAAGGAAGATATTCAGATCCATCAATAGTTTGTGTCTAGGGAACAAATGTTCAGGATGCAGAGGATGCTGCATTACATACTGTACAGGCTAGTGAGCCAAGCTTCTTGGTCTAGTTGTTTTTTTCTTATCTAATCACATCAAACACATCCAACAACAGTACTGAATAAATGAACTAATATTAAAATAATGGATTTTACTGGAAGCACTGTGTTTACCAAAATTGTTTCAGTGAATGGAAAGAGCCAAATGCTCCTGTCTGAGAGAAATGTTTCACTAGGCTACCAATAATACCAGCAACAGAACCATTGTCACTCATTCCTGCATTACAAAGGACAAATCTGATACTGTGCTCATTGGGCAGTATACCTAATTGCACTTAAATGAATTTGTGCCAAGGCAAGGTTTTACATATGCTTTTACTATGAACTACACAGCACTGACATTCATCTGTGCCACCAAATTACAGCCACACTCCAACAAACATGACAAAACTATTGTTTAAATAATCATCCTCAAGCACACAAACTAGACCATCAATACACAAACATTAGCACCCTCAATTCTCCAGCAGGACAGTATTTGTCTTGAACACACACACACACACATCTGTTAAGTACAGATAATGCTAAGGGTACAATATAGCAGCATCAGTGTGTCTAAGGTTTATGCACCAGAAGCTAAAGCACCACAGCACAGAATAGATGTTATTCAGTACAGCAGAAAGGTGTCCGTTACCGTTGATGTTGTATTGAGTGGGACACTGTTAAACAAGAATTTGCATTCAAGTCTGTATGGCAGCTGATATGCACTGAACATATCACAATAATGTAATATTTAGATGCTAACTGTTTTTGCATTTACACTGTTAAAAAGCTAAATGTTTCATGAAATCATCTTTCCTGCAGTTTACAATATAAACCACTAGAGGGCTCTACAGTACTATAATGAAGCAATGCTTGCTGGGTAGAAACAAGGCTTAACAGTTTGGCTGTTTTTAAAAAACAAAAGGGAAAGTACATTAAAAATTGTTGCATGCTCCTACGGTATATCGTTTCATCCAAAGACTAACTTGTTCTTTACTCTGATCAACTTATTTTGTAAGTTCAAAAAGTATTACTGGGAAAAAAAATAAAATAAAATTGGTACAAGTTAATATAGTTTGTGAACGTACAAGTCAGAGGACTGAACCCAATGTCAGGTTTTTCTGATTTGCACTCCACCCTTTCCCATTTTTACATGGAGGGGTAGACGGTGCTGTGGCCTCAAGAAGGCTGCTAGAATGGAGAGGTGGGTGAACGGACAGTGTCAGCTGAACTTGGGGAATAGTCTTCAGACTCAGAGGTGAAATCAGCAGGGGAGAGGCTGGGGTTAGCACTGTGGGAGGTGCAGGCACCGATACTGTGTGGGAGGTGGGGAGTGGACTTCACATCCTGGTGGCGTCTTCGTCGGAAAACTTGCTTCTCCTTATCAAGTGACGTGGTCTGAGGGTGACACAGCAGCAACCATTAGGTTCTCAGCAAAATCACAGAGGAGTGGCGTCCATTCCGCCACCAGGCACTGGGTCAAGTTTAGATGAGCCAGTGTTTACATGCAGTTGTATCTGAAAAACTGCATTTTGCTCAGAGTTTTAACTTCCTCTTGCAACACAGCAAACTAGTGCATTGCTCAACAACACATTGAAAAGCAGCAAGAGGCAATAAGGTCAACATCAATTGTGTGACATAGCTTCTTATTAAGAAGCAAAAATTAATTCAACTGGTACAACAACATCCAGCTGCAGCAGCATTATGGATGAATAACTTTCTATGCAGAAAAAGAAAATGGCAAAGTAATCTGCACAACCAGGTGAGAGGAAGCAGCCACAGCACTAGTGAGATGAAGTAATGTATCTAATGAGGTAAAAAAGGGCACCACTGACAGGTGGTGGTTCAAACCCTTTGGGGGATGAGATATGGAGACTGCCAGCACTTTGCCATGAAAGCACTGCACATCAGCACTATGTTTTGTCATACCTTATCCAGTACAATCCTGGATGCTGGCAGTGGCCCAAAGACCCTGACCTCTGGATGGTAAAGTCCTGGTTCAGATGAGTAGAAGAAGACGAGTGCAACTCAGAGGATCACTATGAACTCAAAGCATCACTAACCTAATTAGCATTAAGGTGCACAACACTGCACATCTGTAATAACTGCTGGCATGAGAAGGAAAAACTGGAAGAAAAATGTCACTGACATTCTGTGAAATGTCAGAAATATTACCCGTTTGGCAACAGAGCGCTAGAATCACCTGCAAAGCTAATTAAAATGCTAGATATGAGGAATGTGCCATAAAATATATACACAAAAATAATATCTGAATTTCAGAATAAGTTGTTTAAAAATAATAAATCTAATATAACCAAAACCTATAGTAGTCACCGTAGGTCAACTATGTTATTTATACAGTCTAACAATAGTGCTGACAGTCCATCTAAAAGAGGAGGATGAGAAGCCACAACACACACACACACACGACCTGGCAGCAACAAGGAGATGGATGAACTGATGTGTACACAGATTGAAGTGGAGAAGCCAAGAAAATATCAAAAAAGATGGATAATGGATTATTTGCAGCTTTGCAAGCAACAATGCTAGCTTCAACTAATGAATTTAAGCATGGATGTTGTTGGTGGTGGTGGTGGTGGGGGGGGCATCTGCACAATTAAGCAACACGGCCATATGAGGAACACTGTGGTTCAAAAGTGCAGTTTTCTGTTCAATTTTGAATGGCATCCAAAGCATCACTGCTTCAGAAAAAGAGCCAAAATGTAATCTACTGATGCATATGCACAGAGTCGGTGTGTGGAGGGGGTGCAAATCAGTGCTTACTGTAATGACTGACACTCCTGCTGCAGTGTTGTTGAGCTTGGGGCCAGTGTTGAAGTGCTTCTTGATCTTACCAGCAACAGGCAGCTGCTGCTCGCTCACTGACACGCCATCATCCTAAAAAATACAGAGAACAAAACCTCAGTAACAATGTCACACTGCAAGGTATTTTCTTTAGCGGTACTTGTACAGTATTTTACTTGTATACATGATTCTGCTAAAAGGACCAACTTAAAATGGTGAACTTACATTGACCCAGGAGTGATCAAGCACCTGTACAGCCGTGTATCTCTTATCCACCTCTACCTGCAGCATCCCACTGACCAGAGCCTAAAAAAAGACATTAGTCATGAGTACCCAGTATAATAATGCAGCTCAAAATACCAAAACAATAAATCACTGAAGGATTCTGACATTTCACATTAAACACAGGAGATGGCAGATGAGTACAGCACTTCCAGACACAAACCTTGGCAGTGTCAGACACACTGTCCCAGTATGGTGATGGGAAATCAAGCTGGCCCCTTAAAATCTGCTCAAAGACAGCCTCCTGATCTTCACCGCAGCTGGAGAAATTTAAGCAGGTATTTTATAAAGCTCAAACTAATAGTCTATAATGTCATAGCACACTGTGGACATCTTGACTGATGGGATTCAAGCTAATTAAAGACAGTTTAAAACATCACACTTCTCAAAAATAAGCCAACTGATAAGGAGCACATACCCACGGAAAGGTGGAAAACCACACAGCAGTATGTAAGTGATGACACCAGCTGCCCAGATGTCAACCTTAAGGCCATATCTGTGATTGGAAAGGATTATAAGTATCAGAAAGACTCAACAAATTAAGCAGCAGCAGTTTTTCCACTGGCATCAAAGATCATTGATCTTTCACAACAAATGCAACATCTGAGACATGATTTAGGACAACTCCTCTGACTCACCCTGTCTCAGCAACAATCTCTGGTGCTACATAGGTGGGTGTGCCGCACACGGTATGGAGGGGCCCGTTCACAACAGTAGCCAAACCAAAGTCACCTAGTTTTAGAGATTTACTACCATCTTGGTGCTCATAGACCTGTGTGACATGCACAAAGGAAAGTGGGGAACCACGAGCAAAAACATTCCTCACTGTGTTATAGTCCATTAATGAGATGTAATAATAAAATTAACACTAGGTGCAAAGATTTATAGCATAGAGTAATAAAAAAGTACAAGAAAAGAATAGAATGCAATTCACCTCTAATAAAAGGAAAAAACACAGCAACTGCAAATACAGATGTGTCTAAATTAATAAAATGGAGATTTGTTACACCATATGAATATATATCAAACAGCAACACTAAAACAAAAACTCCATCTTCAACTTCCTTGTATTGTCTCTTCACTCTTTTCTCCTTTTGTGAATATGTAATATAATAATTCAATTCAGAAATCCTGATGATCTCCTTTTGAAAGTATTTTAGATTAAAACTACTCAAGATTTAGGTCAGACAATACTGGTGGGATATATAGTATTAAAAATGTGAGTGCCAAATGACCAGTGAGAGCATGATACGGTAAATACATCGTGGAGTTGTGTTCAATAATTTAATAATGTTCATATTTTATCTATGCTGTGCATGGTGCATTTCTTAATGTTTCTTAATGGTGTCAGTTGAAAGTGCAAGCTTGTACATAACTTGGGAGAGAAGTGAAAAGAACAAGGTAAGGAGAATAATAGGGAGCACAGAGTATAAGGAGTGAAGAAGGGAAGGTGTTACAATGCAGCTCCACTTAATGCAAGAGTCATACTTACCAACAGGTTTTCTGGTTTTATGTCTCTGTGGACAATACTGAGACTGTGCAGGTACTTGATGGCACTTGCCAGATTAAAGAGCATACAGCTGGCATCTCGCTCTGTGTATTTGTTAGAAGAGGTGATTGCGTCAAAGAGATCGCCCCCCTGGAGAAACAGGTTTTCAGCCATTTGACATGAACATGTTAACTTTTAACATGCACAAATTAAAATTTATTTTTGCAGACCAATAACAAAATAACTCTGGACAGAATAAAACTTAGTGGTCAAAGAAATTTGCCCTAGAATACAACTTTGGCATTTGATCTTGAAATTTCTTTGCAGAAATCAACAAATGCGTAGTACCTTTACCAACTCCATTACAAGATAGAGTTCACCATGGGTGTCCATTTCTTCAATTAAAAGTACAATGTTGGGATGTTTCACCCGGCGAAGGATCGACACTTCACTCTGGATCATGTGCTCCTGTAATATAAATAATTTAAAGAAAAACTCTGTAAAACATTTTACAGTGAAACAAATTTAAACTTAGTTAAGGCTGCATAATTAATCACTTGGAGCAATCTTGATTTATACCCATGTGCAATCTCATATGACAACGATTGTCATGTTTGTATTAGCAGGGAGATCCACAGTATCAAACCAAATGCTCCCTTTTCTTCCAGCTGTAGACCGTGTTACACCACATAATAAACTGTACACAGGAAGAGGGCAGATGTGCAAACCTGCCACCCGGTGAAGAGCTCAAAGTGGGATTTAAGGTCTGCCCAAACTGTATGTTGTATGGTCAGACAGGATCAGGCCCCCAAACACACACACGCACCTTTTGTTGAATGGACTGAGTGTGTGCACTCTGTCCATGAGCCACGTATGACTGTGGGTCTCTTTTCTCCACTTTCTTTAAGTGCCGGGTCTGTTTCTGCCTGGCCAACTCACATCTTTAGCTAAAGCCTGAAAATCACTTGTGAATACACATATATAGTAAATGCCTGAAAGGACTGATAAGCTGACTTGAAATTAGTTTCCAGTTATGTGTTGCAGAACTTTTTTTTATGTTATTAAAAAGGAAGAATGGGAGAGACACAGAACGCAGGAAGGAGAAATCTCTATTCAAAAGATATACCAAAAAGAAACCTCTTGACAATGAATTAGCCCAGAAGTAGTGGTGCAGCAACTGCAATCAGCAGAGATAGATGTAGATGCAGGCTCACCTTTCCCCTGCATTTATCTTTGCTGATGATTTTCAGAGCATACTCTCTTCCAGTCGATCTCTCCACACATTCTCGAACCACAGCAAAGTTCCCATCCCCTAAAGTCCTCCCCACTTTGTACCTCTCCGTTATGGAGGCAGGGACCGAGGGGTACTCATTCATCAGCTCAGCTGCAAAGTAAAATAAAAAAATGATCCATCTTGTAAAGCTATAAACAGAGGCCAAAACATTACTTGAAAACAAAGTTCTGATACAATATGTCTGTCTTTCACTGTGCCTTACCATCACTGCTGGGCCCATCTCCTTCATCCATTGAGCTGCAAACCTTGGTAGAAGCTAAAGAGAGTGAAGAGCCACTGTGCTGAGATCCCTGGAACAAGAGACAGCTATGGAGTCGGAATGAAAGACACACTGATGAACGTTGTCTTAAAACTCCAGAGAAGGGAAAGCTTGTAAAAATGTTGATTATAGTCATCTTACATAAAGACCTTTTTTTTTTTTTTTTTAACTGTCAGTCTCTGTTAGATAAAACCAAAATCAACCTTTAACCAGCATAAAGACTGGCATATGGTTGGAAAAGGAGCAAAAGATCCACCACCACACTCATTATGATCACCCCAGCCAGTCTCATGATTATTTAATGATGGTATCAGTAGTAATTGGATTTCTCTCCATAGTTGACTGTGCTGCAATCTTAAAACTTGTTGTTCCTCCCCAAATCTATGATAATTACAGCAGAAATTGTGCTGCTACAATACAGAAGGAGACATTCAAAAGCTAGTTCTAAAGATTCAAATTGCACACACAACCTGTGCCGATGAGATACATGGCGTTCAGCCGACTTTTATTCCCTGAACCAGTGAAAAATTTTGCACCTGTATACAAGCTAATATTTACACATGCGTACCTGTGTACACAAACCTGTGATGACCCTCAATAATATAAAACAGTACTGGCAGGGTTTCAAATTACATTACTAATACAACAGAAATAAACAGCAAGGTCAAGGATTGAGAGCTAAAAAAAAAAAAAATATTAAATGATTATTTGAAAATTTAAAGTCCTCCTCAAACTCACAAATATAAATCTTCCAAACAATCTTAAGAACTCAAACTTGTTTATTAATACATCAATTTTCAGTACCTGTCGTCTTCGCAGGCTAGCTGGACTGGTGGGAGAGGGGCTTGGAGACTTTCCAGATCGAGGCGTAGACAGCTGACTGCCTGCAGTTCCATTAGCTGTTGGTGCAGTAGAATCAGCATCATGATCAAAAACTGTAGAATAAACTAAACCTACTTTTTATAAATAGATTATAGAGTTTTATATTTATAAATATAAATATAATCCTATAAGTAAACAGTGTGAAACTTAAGAAGAGAACAATAGATTGGCTTTTTTTGTCTCAAGACATAACATACAAATAAATTTACCTGAACTAGTGGATGACGGTGACTTGCTCCTTCGGGACATCCCGCCACCTCTTGGGGAAGAGGTACCCTGCATGGAGGGGAGTCGGCCATATGATGCAGACTTTGCCACCCTGCATTCTATAAAGAAGTACAAAAACTAATACTAAGCCACCTTAATCCACCTTTAGTCAGCAATAGATTTGAGGTTCTGTGTTTATTTTAGAAATAAAATTTAGAAAAAAAAAAAACTAGACAAATGCATTTCCTGAAGAAAATGTGTGTGGATGCTGATTGCTGAAGAATTGCCCTGAAAATGCTGAAATCCATTGCTGAAACAGCTGAAGGCTGTGATGCAGTGCTGAATAATTATGGAAGATGAAATGAAAAACTGTAGCTGGGAATTTAACTTCATTATCTCAAGAAGGTGAGAGCATTCCTAAAACAGTGGAAGGCTTAATCCCAAAGTAAGAGGTAGAAATTAAATGGCTTGAAGTTCTAAAAGAATATTTTTTACTGACATCTAACAGATATGTTTTAAAGGCAGACAAACCTGTGTGTTTATGGGTGTGTCACTGTGATACTGTACCTCTGTGTGTGTTACTGTGTGACACTGTATTGCTTTGACTGTGTATGTTTGCGTGTTTGTTACTGTGTGACTGTTTGTGTGGTACCATGTTAATTTCAATGTTTGTTTTAAACAATTAAAATGTGTGCCTCACCCTTTTTCCCTTGCTAAGCTGTGTTAATCAATAGCAGAAACCAGTAAAATTTGTGTCTATCCAGTAGCTGGATAGCTTGGTGGTTAACACCACTGACTGTGGTACGGCAGTTCGGGGCGCAATTCTCTATTGAAGCACGATAGGTCGTTTTGTGAGTGCGATTTAGATTCCTTCGCAATCTCATTAACCAATAGCAGAAACCAGTAAAAAATCCAAATGTGTATCTATCCAATAGCTGGATAGCTTGGTGGTTAATGCCACTGACTTTGGTATGGCAGGTTGGGGTTCGATTCTCGTCTCAAGGCATGACATGATCGTAGAAGGACATAGATAGTGAGAGGGGAAGTAGACAGTGGCTAAGGTGGGAGGGGAGGTAGAGAAGAGGTAAGGTGGGAGATAATAGGTACAGTGCTTTGCGAAAGTATTTGGCCCCCTTGAACTTTGCGACCTTTTGCCACATTTCAGGCTTCAAACATAAAGATATAAAACTGTAATTTTTTGTGAAGAATCAACAACAAGTGGGACACAATCATGAAGTGGAACGAAATTTATTGGATATTTCAAACTTTTTTAACAAATAAAAAACTGAAAAATTGGGCGTGAAAAATTATTCAGCCCCTTTACTTTCAGTGCAGCAAACGCTCTCCAGAAGTTCAGTGAGGATCTCTGAATGATCCAATGTTGACTTAAATGACTAAAGATGATAAATAGAATCCACCTGTGTGTAATCAAGTCTCCGTATAAATGCACCTGCACTGTGATGGTCTCAGAGGTCCGTTTAAAGCGCAGAGAGCATCATGAAGAACAAAGAACACACCAGGCAGGTCCGAGATACTGTTGTGCAGAAGTTTAAAGCCGGATTTGGATACAAAAAGATTTCCCAAACTTTAAACATCCCAAGGAGCACTGTGCAAGCGATAATACTGAAATGGAAGGAGTATCAGACCACTGCAAACCTACCAAGACCTGGCCGTCCCTCTAAACCTTCAGCTCATACAAGGAGAAGACTGATCAGAGATGCAGCCAAGAGGCCCATGATCACTCTGGATGAACTGCAGAGATCTACAGCTGAGGTGGGAGACTCTGTCCATAGGACAACAATCAGTCGTATACTGCACAAATCTGGCCTTTATGGAAGAGTGGCAAGAAGAAAGCCATTTCTTAAAGATATCCATAAAAAGTGTCGTTTAAAGTTTGCCACAAGCCACCTGGGAGACACACCAAACATGTGGAAGAAGGTGCTCTGGTCAGATGAAACCAAAATCGAACTTTTTGGCAACAATGCAAAACATTATGTTTGGCGTAAAAGCAACACAGCTCATCACCCTGAACACACCATCCCCACTGTCAAACATGGTGGTGGCAGCATCATGGTTTGGGCCTGCTTGTCTTCAGCAGGGACAGGGAAGATGGTCAAAATTGATGGGAAGATGGATGGAGCCAAATACAGGACCATTCTGGAAGGAAACCTGATGGAGTCTGCAAAAGACCTGAGACTGGGACGGAGATTTGTCTTCCAACAAGACAATGATCCAAAACATAAAGCAAAATCTACAATGGAATGGTTCACAAATAAACATATCCAGGTGTTAGAATGGCCAAGTCAAAGTCCAGACCTGAATCCAATCGAGAATCTGTGGAAAGAACTGAAAACTGCTGTTCACAAACGCTCTCCATCCAACCTCACTGAGCTCGAGCTGTTTTGCAAGGAGGAATGGGCAAAAATTTCAGTCTCTCGATGTGCAAAACTGATAGACATACCCCAAGCGACTTACAGCTGTAATCGCAAGAGGATTTTATGTCTATCAATAAATGTGTCTAATCTGTTATTAAAGAGTTTTTCCAGAATTTTTGAAAATTGTGACAACAGAGAAATCGGTCTATAATTTGTGAAGTTGTGCTTATCACCAGATTTATACAGTGGAATAACCTTTGCTATTTTCATATTATTGGGGAACTGCCCAAGTCGAAACGACATGTTAAAAATATGGGTTAATGGTTTGCATATCTCCTCAATTACCCATTTAACAGTTGTCATAGTGATACCATCACTATCACTACATGTTTTGTTACCACATTTATTCACTATCTCTATAATTTCCTTTTCAACTATGGGCTTCAAAAACATAGAACTTATGGTCCTTTCGATTGTATTATTATTTATAGTGACGGATGTATCATCTGTACAAATGCTTCTTACCTCCTGTCTATCTTCCCTTCTACGACCTATCATCCAATCACAGCAACCCAGTTGTATCAGTGGTGCTTATGGTAAAAGCAGTAACAGTAGAACAACAAACAGATGTGAGTACAAACTTGCAAGAAGGTTTGACATATCCAGTATTTCATCAGAGGAGGATAATTTAATAAAAAGCTATTTACCGTACGATGAATCTGTGGCATGTGTAGCCACAGCAGGCATCAACACAAATAATCACCACAAACAATGGGAGTGTTATCATCATACGCTCCCCAATGAGCTAGCCAAGCCTCATTTAAATTAAAGTACACTTACCACTTTCATCCAAGTTGAAGTCATCTTGATAACGAAACTTTTCTGGGCCACAAGCAATGAATATATCATCTTCACCAAAAAAGTCCTGAAGACTGTTGACCTGGTAAAGATGGAGATGTTTCAGTTGGTTGTATTAGAAAAACAAGTCTGATAAGTCATGCCTACTCTCCACAGTCCAAAATATTACTTCCAAAGAGAGTAATGGGTCTTAAAATACCTCATACCTACCAAAATCAAATCAGTACATAAACTTGCACGCTGACATGGTCTGACCAAAATACACAAACACCGCAGAGTCATATGGTTTTCAAACAGCAAAACGAAATCCATATACTACTGTGCATTACACTGGTCAGATCAAATCTTTAATTATCATAAGGAAATGCATTGTTTCTACATATAATGTTGATGCTAATTTACACACACACACACACACCCAGTATTCTATGCATTCACATGCCAAAGAAAACCAAGATTTATTTGAATTAAATGAAATATTTATTGAAATAAATGTTACCTTTAGGAGGAGAGGAAATGTAAAATAATCAAAACTAGATGACTGTGTCAATGCATCTGCTGCTCTCATTAATACACAAGACCATTTCAGTGGTTGCAGTGTCATAAATAAATGGAGATGCTGTTAAGAGTCCTGACCTTCTCCTCAAAAGGCTCATTAATGTGCATAACCAAAGAAACCAGTGTGCCACTGGATTAGAGCTTCTCTCCTAGTTCCTGAACTCGGCAAAACCTGTGTCAACAAAAATATGATCCCATACTGATATTTTTTTCCTGAAGCAGACATTTTATCTTGAATTTGCCGTTAAGTTAGATGTGACTTATATAAATTATATGGTTCATTTATAAAGGTAGATAATTCGAAATGTTAAACTTGTGAACACCTTGTGATTCTGTTCTTACAAAGTAATTGAGGACAACATGGTTTAGAAAATTTAAATCTGAAAAGCCAATAGTAAACACATTTTGCCCCTTTCCCTCTGCTACACCACACACACACACACACACAATTTATTACCTGATCATTAAGAAACATGCACAACATCTTCTTTAGTTAAAATTCTGTACAAATCTAACTGCTCTGACAGAAATGCACACTTTTAAATTGTCAATTAAAAATATAGTACACGTAGTTTTAATATTTATCCAAAATATTTAAATGTTGGATTATCCACCATACAAAAGGATTGGTTTATCAGTAACTTGCAGCAAAAGCACCTCCAAACAGCCAAAGGTCATTCAGCCATGAAATCTTAAAATAAACACTGGGGAGCTTAAGATGGCCCTTTTCTCTGCAGGTGGCCCATTCTGACAGCCCCTGCCCCCCACCCCTTCTCCAAGGGAGAGCGAGATCCCAGAGGGAGGACAGCTGCACAGCCGTTGCTAAGGAGACCGAGTTTGAGACAATGAGGGGGCACATCTACTTTAAGATCCACTGTCAGACCTCATCTGAAGTGTTGAACAGTAGAAAGTGTAAACAACACAACAATGTCACCCTCAGTCAGCATAAAATGGAACAACAGAACAACCCGTCACTGATGCTGGGATTTCAGATCTGGCTTCAGACCTTTGGTGGATGTTGCTCCCTGTAACTCACATCACAATTAAAATAAATAAACATGCCAGGAAAAAAGTGACATTATTCCACAGTAGGATCATGGAATCAGATGTAAATGATTGCTACTAAACCCATTAACAGAAATCTAATCAATAATGCACACCCTCTTAACAACAACAACATCATCATCATCCAGGATTAAGAGTGCAATAATAGACTGCGTCATGTAAAACCTTGAGTGAAATGTGGCTCAGATTCTATTAGAGCCACTACTTATTGTATTGGTGTATCCCAATTCTCCTAATTGCATCCACATCTTCCTCACTTGCATCTTAGTCCCACCCACATTATGATGCAAGGAGAAACTGCGAGCAGAGGAAACACGTTTTAACTGACATGAGAGGTCCTTTCCTCCTTCATGTGAACCTTCCAATCACAAAATAATTTCCAATAAAGGGACATGTCGATCCATAACCAACTTCTGCAAAGGATACATTCGTCTATCCTCAGTTATAGCTCCTACTGAGGGAGGTCCTTCCTCATGGCAGACCCAAATGACTTCTGGTTCAGGTGAAGATCGAGGACAGAGGGCCGATGGAGGTCCTTCCTCATGGCAGACCCAAACGACTTCTGGGTCAAGTGAAGATCGAGGACAGAGGGCCAACAAAATAAGAGAATTAGGATGAACCTTTTGTTTGTCTTAAAGAATATGGTCAGTCATTAAAGATATCCAGAGATCGAGCGTGGCAGTGGTAGTTTGGGCACTGTAAAATGTTACAGCACTTTTGAACCTTTGGGCAACATTTTTAACAACTATCAGGGTCTTGTGTTTTATAAATGAGGAAACATGTCACCCAGTGCAGCAGTGTGCTTCCCTGATGTGTTTTTAAAACAGTGGAGGCACAGATGATTGGCATAAATCAATGGCATGGATGAATAAATCAACAGACGGACAGACACCAACTATGAGTAGAAGCAATTCATTGTTGGTTTTAGTCTCTGTATGGGGACTGTCGAAATTTATATAGAAAATGACCAGCCTTATCCTTTAAATACTAGGAAACCTCAAATTTATAAGGGAACAGCAGAACAAAGGCAATCACAGCTGTTTTCCTTTATTACTTATGCCAGCTAGCCCAGTGACACAGCAGCTCCATCAGGCCCACCTTCCCCCTAATGCACACACGCACAAACACACACCCCAACACTCCTTGAGGTCCTAGCGCATCCTGTGCAAATATTGATTGTCATTGTTTTATCTCTGCTTTCTGCAGGCACAAGCACTGCTCCCAAAACAATCAAAGGCAACAGAAGCTAATCAATCTAAGCCATGGTAAAAGCCACAGATCACATAAAGACACAAAGTGGCAATAAAACTCATCTAGCAGTAGGCAGGTGGACCGATCCAGGGTGCTGAATCTCACCTTTGAAATGGAAGTGAACACAGCAGCCAATTACTCAGACAGACATGACTCATCTTTACACTTAGTTTTCAACCAGATCTAGTTCTATTTTACATGAACTGTCCGTATATATAGTTTGAAAGCAAGCCTTACTTTTTTAAACCACTGTAGTTCTACAGTATTGCATGTAAGCATGTTCATAAGAATGTCCACTGGAAGCAGGAGAAAATGTAAAGTAACACCCTACTCTCAGACATAGCCAGTATAATCCAAGATTCAAATCAGGTCAGCTGCACAAATCTGTGACACAACCACAGTTACTGCAAAGAAATACAATAGCTGCCTTAATAAATGCAAGTCAGCACTATGATGACATCCATAAGGACAAACCCACAACCCAAGCACACGTTAAAACACATGCTTCCTTACACTAGCTCACACACTTCCAGCAGTCCTAATCAAAATGTCCTTGTCTTGAGTTACTATATTTAACCAATGTCTGACTTTCACAGGCCAAAAAAAGACCATTTTAGTCAGTTTTCAAAAAGACTTGCTTACTAGTGCGACAAAATTTTACAACAAACATGTTCCAATATTTCAGTTGGACCAACAAGTATTCAACTGCAGGAGAACATCTGTTCAGACTGTTAAAGTCACTTTGTGAAACTTGATTTTCTGAGAAAGCAGTGAGGCACTATGCATCATGCAGACATGACATCTGTGGTATGAACAGAAACAAGCACTGTGGGTACATGCAGGCCAAACCAGGAAAGAAATGAACTGGAAAACGTAAGCTACGTTCTACTCTCTTGCACCATAAATCTCAACCATTCCAGCCATTTCTAATTTCTAAAGCATGAATGAGGCTGTTTATCACATTTACTGATACAGAATTTTACCATTAAAAAAAAATAATAAGCTTCCACTTTCATGCATTGATGTCAAGCCAGGCTCTGCCCACAGACAGCTGCTGACATTCAGCAAAACATGCTGACAAAGAAGTTAGTGAAGTGCATAATACAGGTACAGTGCAAAACCATATCAATTACAGTGGGAACTGGAAAGCCGTGGTTTAAGTCTGCTCAGACTTGATCTAATCTGCTCCATCCCACACATAACAGCGTTATGCTATATATAACTTTCATGACACAACACCTCTACAGAATGACTCAGCAGTATGAAGAGCAGCATCACGAAGCAGAACCACCCACTAAGCAGATCCACAAACAGAATAACTCAAGTCACATGATTCACATAAAATAAATGTGAATCACAAGATCATCCAATATTTTTGAAGAAGAATCCAGAGGAATGTGACTAAATGACAATATCATCCCTTAATATATGATTAATAAAATTGCAGCAAATTCACTGATACAATTTATAAATGAATAACAAAGGGCTAATCAGGTGGCTGTGGGATATTTACTAACTGAACACTGCAAATAAAACTAACTTGCTAGAATTAATTGCTTCAGTCATCCAAAGCCTCGGTCTCTGGACTAAAAGCATAAGCAGGTAATTTACTAAAGGTTAAACAGCCATGAAAAACAGTGCCAGTACAGTAGGTGCTTGGCCATCTGGAGTCACACTATGACAAGTAATACAAAAATCAGACACTAGATTTCAGAGGTGCATTGACAAGCATTACCTTAAAACCACTATATTGAACATCTAGCAAATCCTGTGTGATTCAGAACCATCAATAGAGTCTAATGTTCCACTTTCACACAGGATACAACACAAGCAATCTACCTTTTATCTACTGCGATTTCACGTCCATTTATGCTTTGCTAAACATCTGTAGTCTCAAAATAATTGAGTATTTGTGACAGCAAATTTGTTTGCTGGTGTGAAAATCCCCAACAGCTCCCTCCACACTCCATTACAGAATGGGTGCTACTCTGGAATTATAGCTGTCATGTGCACCATCTTGCCGCCATGTGTGTAATAAGGCTGACAGACCAAGCGCTACATCTATGAACCCTCTCACACTACACTTACAGGCCTGATATCACTACCGCACCGCTCTGCCACAGAGGCTGTTCCTTAGCAACCAGCTCAGGAAACCATGTCACCATAGAAACCATCAGAGGGAAAAAAAAATTCTGATAAGGATGCTAATATAGTGTGCAGGTCACAGAGTTCATGAATCAGTTCAGTTAAAGACCTGATTATTTCTGTGGGATGTTCTGTAACTCAGTCAATTCTTCCTTCATATCAGTTCATAAAGACTACAACTCCCGCAATTACTGTAATATCCAGAAGAATGCTAATGTAATATATTTGACATCACACTGTACCCATAAGCCACTTGCATCATTAAATATTTATACTATAATAATGTAAACAAAACTGTCCACAAAATTCATCTCAATGCATATTTGTCTGGTACTAACTCACTAAGTGAATATCAATTTAAAAGTGTTCTACTGTTGGCGGGAATATAAGATGGAGCCCTAGAAACCTATTTCTTGTAATTCATTTAGAGAATATTCCCAGTTGACTTTTGCTGCTACTGGCCTTTCTCTGTCTCGCTCTCTCTGGGTAATGAAGCAATTCAAAGAGACATGAATGAGGAACAGAAGAGACCACCTCTACTGGCAGAAACAAAGTTCTATTTCATCAAAACCCTAAAAATGCACATACTGTGCTAGCCTACTTTGACTGTAAAAAGTGTACCAAGTGTACCTCATGTACAGTGTAGGCAAACATCAAGTCTAAAACAAATTAGGATATGAGCTATATAAATTGATTATGTCTAATTTATGGCAATTTGGTTACTTTCTTAAAGATACTAATGAACTCATCTTGGCTACAAACTTAAGATTTAACCAAAGATATATGTAGTATGCAGCTGGTAAGCATCATGTCCAAGTAAGGTGAGCACTGAAGGTCAAGGAGCAAAGGTAAGCATCTATGTCTTCACAAAACTGCATACAGTAATATTTCCTTATCAACTTGAATACAGTATATCACTGCTACTTTTACTAATAATGACCTTATGCCGTGGCTATAAAAGTTAATATGGTGTATGGATTCTATAGCAGGACTTAAGACGGTGGCATTACACAGCTAAGCTATCATCATATTCACCACAATGTATTGCATTCTTGCAATTAATGTAATTTACAAATCTCCTAGATTGGTTTTCCATGACAAATAATTTTGCCAAAGTCAAAATTTAAAGGAAAAGCTAATATTTCACCTGTCCTCTAATATTGGCAGCTTTCTGGTTTTAGTTTAGACTCCCAAATCCATTGGCCATTCTGAATGATTCCTAGTTTGTACCCCATTTGGAAACATGTGTGTTAATATTGCAATTCTGAAAAATTTGTTAGCTAGCAAAGTTCACAAAATCTGCAATAAGAATTATAACACCTACCATCTTGCCATCAACAGTATATAGCCTTTTGACGACTCCAGAGTCCAGCTTAATGGCATCTGTGATGTCAGACATGACTTGCTCAAAAGAGTGTGCCGTCTTCTTGTTGAGCAAGACCCGTACAGCTTTGCGAGGCTTTACTCCACTGCGCACAATGGTTACCAGTTTTGGCCTAATGAAGTCCTTGCTCTCCCTAGTTTCTGGGGGTCCAGCCTTTGCACTACCAAGGGAAGAAGGGTCACGGATGGACACAGGAGTCCTAGCACCAACTGACCAGTTGGGATTTACATTCTTTGTGTAATCCACCTTCTTGTACGGCTCTATGGATGCACAAACATAGCTCTCTCCTGCAGAAAAGACAATAACAACAGATTTTCCATTTTCTCACAAACAAAAGCTAAGACACATGGGAGACTGGAACAAAGATCCTAGGACAGTGACCTGCATCAACTGATGATTCTGGTGGAGTTTATGACCTACTTGATTTCTAACTACAAACTAAATCTGGGGCAAACATACACACATTTAACAACACTGCTCACCTTCCACTAGCTGGTCCATGCTTGTGATCTTTGTTGTCCCATCAATGGTATATATGGTCCGCACTCCTTGAGGCAAGTTGACATTATCCGACAGAGCTCTTGTGAGGTCAGCCAGGAGTGCTTCTAGAGACCCAAATCTCTCCTGAGAAATGGCATACACAATTCCTTTGAAGTAGCGGTCCCCATTTCGATAGAAACGAATTTTCTTTGCCTTCTTTTCTGAGCTCAGTGCTTGTAGTGTCCTGGTTCTGTAGAGGCTGCAGTGAGCGCTGTGTGTGGGACTGGGGAGCCCATTTCCTCTTGAGCCCCTTCGGGTGTATCGGTCAGCCTTGTCCCGCTCATCAAAGTGCTCCAGCTCCATGACTGTACAGTGCTATTACACCCTAAATAAAAATCCAAAGAGAACACCCACTATTTGAATAAACTTTTTAACATGAACCTACAACACATTTGACCAATTAGACCCTCGGCCTCTGTCAGTCTAGTTGCTTAACCTCCTGATACAAGCTTTGATGCTGCTACTACTGCAAATGTACATGCTATGAAGTAACATGTCACACCCATTTCATGCTCTCTTGTGTGTCTCAATTCAACGATGAGGCAATGAACTTTGCAGTGGATAATACATCATCAACAGTATAAACCTGTTTAGAGATCTTGGCTGAAAGATTATTGTATTAAGCAAACAAAAAAAAACAATATAGCAAAAAAGGTACAGAACATATGGACCTTACTGTTTTAGTGTAATCTCTCTTACCTTATAGGAGAGGACAGATGCAGTCACACGTATCTGTTAGCGCAATTAATTAGTGAATCGGTTATTCATTTAATGTCTTGGAAGAACCATGCGTCCCTTTGTTACACCTGTGATGGTGCTCTGTACGCCTGTGATGGTGCTCTGTACACTGCCTCCCGTGTGTCTACTCTGTTGTGCGCTCTCAGGCAAAGAGGAGGCAGTGCTGGAGCCGGTGTCCTCAACCCTCCTCCCCTACTCTTCTGCCATTGCAGTGATTTACACCGGACCGCTCGAGTGTTCGCGCGACTCGTGCACGTTGCTGCCAGAGCGCGCAATCACAAAACGTGTTTCTACTATGCGCGTCCACGTTACGGTTTACCTGCTTGAATAACCACATAACTGGCATATTTACGCATTAATAAAAAGTAAATTATCACAATATACTAATTAGTTAGAGCAATAACATAGGAAGAATTTAATGAGTTCAAAATGGATTCAGGCTTGACAAGGTAAGTGTATTTTAATGAGTTATAGAAATGACAAGTAGACACAGCTGGTCTTTTCAGCCGATCTCGGGCCAGCTGGGAACACTGCGTTGACTGGACTGTGATGTAACCTGGGGTTGAAGGAGAGACGCAGACGTTTCACCTTTCGTCCAAGAGGCTTCATCAGTTCTGACTGACTGCTGTTGAGCCGGAGATACTTCAAGAAAAGTGTTTCAGTCACATAGAATCTTGACAAGAGCTCAAATCAACGTTACCGACAGGATCACCAGAGCTCATCTGGCGACGAGGACGCGCCAACGCTTTCCTTAAGTACTACTCTAATCATTGGGAGCAGGTGTGTCTCACCTACTGGAATGCACTCCAACACGCGCCAGCTGACGATGTGCTGGGGCCGGCCCGGGTCACGGACGTAACACTTATTCCGTTTCCAAAGGAGGAATCCACTCTCAGACAGACACCATCTGCCTCTGAATGTCTAGCTTGGCAACTGAGCTGGCATTGTCAGCGGTGTCAAGGGAAACGGACATCTCGTCTGGGAAGATGGATCTTCCGTATTCACTAAAGACCACCGAGATTAAACCTCTCATCCCACTGGCTTGCCCAGATTTTTGTAGCCTATATAGATTACAATATTGTTCAGCCGTCCATAGTAGGCTAGTGGTTAAGGTGCAGCGCTGTCCGCGGCGCCCCGGGTTCGAATCCAGGTTGCTGCGTGGCGACCCTTAAAAGATGACAAAAGCCAAATGTGAGTTTTATGTAGATTGCAATGTTGTTCACATGGGCAAACTGCCTTTCAGCTAAGCATGAGTCAAAGTCATAATGATCACCAGCTGGGTGTGATTGTATGATAATAAGGGGGAAGGATAGGATTATATAGTCACTGAGGTCAGTTATGGCAAAACGGTTACCATTATCAAAATAAAAAATACACTAAACAAGACAGGCTGTGCAAAGTTGTTCGTGTTCATCAGCATCTTTATGATAGGGCAAACGCAGGCCTGTTCTTTTTCCTTTACCAGCAACAGTTTAACAGAAGCAAAAGAATTCATTCCTCTGGCAGCAATTTTTGTTTCTGCTGGGTAAATCACGTGACCTGATTAAGCCCATGAGCCGGTGACTCTTGCTCCCTTTGGGTGAGATGTATCACATCTGCCAAGATGAGGGACTGCCACTGCTTGTGTACATAAATACATGTGTGAGCCTTGCATTTACAGCTGCATTTATATAGTTTGTGTATTGTCTGAAGCAGCCCTTAGGCATCAGGACAATTTCACATGTCAAACTTCACCAGTTTTTGAAAGGACTTGTGGTGCTGCTGATGTGATGTGCATGGTTTTTATGAGAAACCCTCTTGAGACTGTGTCCACCACTAGTTTGTTCTAGTCTACTAACAAAGTATTCAGCTAAAGTTCATGTATTGTATAACATTGTTTTTTAATATTTACCTCTTTTAATATTTTCATAATCGTAGGTGAAAGTGTGCAGTGATCCCAGAAGAGAGACGGACATGTGGGCTGGTTTGGCTATAAGAACCAAGGTAGAACAAAAAGGCCAACACCGGGCAGGGGCGGTGAAGGAGGACTGACAGTTTCCATGGATGGATGACCAGTTATACAGGACAATCTCCTCACTGGGATCCCATCTCAGTTCACAGAGTGAAGTCGATTGATTTCCCTTCAGGAGGATTTAATTTATTCAGGAAGGAAGCCTGCAACATGGCATCTTTCAGTATTGGAAATCTGTAGATGCAATGAGATGTTAATATAAAAAGAAAATGTTATTTTAGCTGGCCTTGCATAAAGCTTCTTTTGCACATTGTCTGGTTTCTGTCCACAATGACTGTATTGCACACTTTACAGACAATGTTCACAACAGTTGTGTGTGAAACCAATGAACCATTTTTTGTGAACTACTATGAAAAATGTCTTTTCTCAGCCAAACTGAGTATATTTTAATGATTTAACATTCTGAGCAACATTGCACAATGTTTCCTGCTTAAAGTAACACTGTAAACATTTAACTTGGCAATCATATCTGTAGGATGTTCTTAAGTCCCCACTGCATTCTGTATGTATTTCAGATTCAGATGAAATATCTATACAGCTGGGAACTCTCAAGTCATCTAAATAGAACTATTAAAGTTGTGGACATCTAAAATGTAGCTTTAACATCTGGGTGATTTGTCATGACACATTTTTAACCAATCATTCACAACACAACACTGGTCATTTATGGGGAACCTTATAGGCTTAGGCAAGGGATAAAATAAGGGATTATATAGTCATTGAGGTCAGTTATGGCAAAACTGTTACCATTATCAAAACAAAAAATACACTAAACAAAATAAAACAAACAAGACAGGCTGTGCAAAGTTGTTCATGTTCATCAGCATCTTTATGATAGGGCAAACGCAGGCCTGTTCTTTTTCCTTTACCAGCAGCAGTTTAACAGAAGCAAAAGAATTTGTTCCTCTTTGGCAGCAATATTTGTTTCTGCTGGATAAACACGTGACCCCATTAAGACCATGAGCCATTACTTTTTATCAAGCGTAGGATGCAACACAACCAACAGCTAAGAAGGGAGGTCTGTGAGTAGCACCGAGAAGAATCTCCTGCCAAGACCTTAATCAGTGTGAAGTCAGATGAAGTTCTTTTTATAGGTGAAAGGAGGCAGTATTACTCTGGGGAGAGTTATAGTTACATTGAAGAGAGGAATATTAAAAAGTTGTGTCAGGACACAGAATATTAAAGAGATGATGGTCCATTGAAAGTTAGAGAAACCTTGAATAGAAGCAGTGGGGTGCAGCCCAGCAGAGAGATAATAAGGGGGCACGCTTTTACAATACATAGCAAGACTGACTGAGCTCAAGTCCCTGTGATGTTTATAATGTCACCTGTTATTATCCTACATCAATGTAGACTAGATGTTGAATAATAAAACTTATTATATATATACAAATTTCAGAAATGCATATTTAATCCTAAAAAGCTCACAGCAATGAGACAATAATTATTAACAGAAAATGCAAACGAGATTTGTCAGAAGGTTCCATGTTTATATACAAATATTCACTGATAAATAACTAAAAACTTGCAATAATTTGCCCCTGAGGTATAAGTACATAATGCAGCTACCTGACACAGCTGCAGGAAGCTTGGTCACTACCTGATACCTGCTGTCCCTCTCACTCTCTGCTCTGACTCAGTGTCTACAGCTGGCCTCAGGCCTTAATGCTCTCCTCTGAAACCACTGCTACTGTTTCCCTTGGTGTTTCCCTGAAGGGTTAAAACAGACAAAACTCTTAGCATATTAAGTAAGCAAGAGTCAAGGGCCTATGCATGAGATCTGGAGATATTCATGATATTTTGTTTTGCAAGGAGGAAACTTGTAACTGAGTGCAGCCATTGAGTTTTACTGATTTGTTTGAAAATAGCATTTGATCTTAAAAGAAGCAGCAGGGTGCAGCCCAGCAGAGAGACAGTAGGGGGCACGCTTTTACAATACATAGCAAGACTGACTGAGCTCAAGTCCCTGTGATGTTTATAATGTCACCTATTATTATCCTACATCAATGTAGACTAGATGTTGAATAATAAAACTTATTATATATATACAAATTTCAGAAATGCATATTTAATCCTAAAAAGCTCACAGCAATGAGACAATAATTATTAACAGAAAATGCAAACGAGATTTGTCAGAAGGTTCCATGTTTATATACAAATATTCACTGATAAATAACTAAAAACTTGCAATAATTTGCCCCTGAGGTATAAGTACATAATGCAGCTACCTGACACAGCTGCAGGACGCTTGGTCACTACCTGATACCTGCTGTCCCTCTCACTTTCTGCTCTGACTCAGTGTCTACAGCTGGCGTCAGGCCTCAATGCTCTCCTCTGAAACCACCTCTACACCCACTGCTACTGTTTCCCTTGGTGTTTCCCTGAAGGGTTAAAACAGACAAAACGTATTAAGTAAGCAAGAGTCAAGGGCCTATGCATGAGATCTCGAGATATTCATGATATTTTGTTTTGCAATGAGGAAACTTGTAACTGAGTGCAGCCATTGAGTTTTACTGATTTGTTTGAAAATATTGTCAAATTTATTGATACCCTATTGAAACAGTAGAGTTTCAGTTAGCATTCGATCTTAATTGCAAAATCTGTAGCATCATTTATTGTCTCAGAGCTTCAAGTTTTCCATGAGCCCTATACATTTGAAGATTCTGGATCCATAGATCAGGAATTGTACTTGGATCCAGATCATACTTTGGTGTGTGTTAGATCTTTTGTAGAGATTATCTTGCAATTGTTGTCCTTGGATTATGTATGGAATCAGAAGCAAACACTGGACTATCTCACAATGGTGAAGAAAAAAAAATCAGTTTGACTCAGCACAACATTTTTTTCTAGTGAATAAAAATTGATGGAATCATTTCTCAATATCTCTGTTCAAAATTCTGAATTCCTCCTCAAATACTTCCCAATCTTAATTTTCTGCAGTGTAGTCAGAATATTTAAGTAGAGACTGAATTTTTACAGTTGTTAGAAATTACTCCAGCCCTGGTTCAATGATTAATGTACTTTGTTGGTCCATTTTCTTAACTGATATCTGTCACATAGGAGAAAAGGAATTTACAGAATAAATCTGCAGTTGGATCAAAATATTGTGTGAAAATTACAACAGCCAGTGGGTGGAGGTGTTAAGCTACTAGAATCATAGTGTTTATACTGTTAACTGGATTTAAACAGCTCCTATAATGGAATAAAAATGCAAATGGAAACTTGTTTATTTGGACATTATTTATTAGGTGATGAAAAAAAATCTCAGTGTGTAACCAGAGGAATACTTCAAAGCCATTTGAAAATTAGTTGTCTACTTAAAGCTAAAATTTAAATGATAAACCTCAAAATTCACATTGTTAATGCTTTGGCCACACAGAAAAATTATATATACACATGAATTCTTATGAAAAACTATCAGCATTAACATTTTGAGAATAGATGAACAGAAGACAAATCAGATTTACAGTTTGACTCGAGACAAATGTTTAGTTTAGATCTAGCAAAAATATTTAATACACAATGAACACGTTTTCAGTTTTACAAAGCAGATGTTCACATATATTTGTAGGCACGACTGTGTTCATTTATCATTTTAAACACTGCAGGGGGAAAACAGTATAGCAGACAATATTTTGTCTGAAACAGTCATATTTGAAGATGCTGACACAGTTTTCATCATTTATTCAAGGATATAATTGCACTTAGCAGGGAGAAACAACAAACACACACAGATGCTTCGTGAAGATTAGGAAAGACTCCAGTGATGAGTCAACAATGATTCATTAGTACAGCAAGCAGCGTTAAACTGTTAACTTACAAGTTAACTGATAAAATCCAACTGTATCATGGACCATGTCTTAATAGACTACATATTAACGTTTTAATTTGGGTTATATAATATCCGTTCCTCCAACTTATTTTACATAAAGTGCTTAAAAGCTGTATCAACTAGTCATCAATATAACTAGTTAGTTATCTTGTAAATATAGAACAGGTTTTTATAAATAAGGAATATTAAATATAGACATATTTGACAGAACAATGACTATGCTTTAAGGCATTGCCGAGGTTGTGAGGCTGGGCACCACCAGTTATTTGTCCAATTTCTCCATTTGCTTCTCGTTCTCAGGTTTGTCCTGGAGTTTATAGTCGTCCAAAATGGCCTGTGCTGTCTGTTTGCCAGTCTTTTTCACCGCAGCTTTGATCCCCAGGTTATCGATATTGAAGGCAGTGACACCAACATTAATGGCAGAATGGACAGCTTGGTCTGTGGCTTGTCCTGCTGCAGCACCGTACCTTCATCAGGAGTCAGATTAGGTGAGAGGTCAGAGCGAGAGGCAGGAGACAGAGAGTTTGGGGAAAATTAATAAATATGCAGGGCGAGGATTGAAAAGATGTCATGCTGTTTGTGAATTTAACCCATGCAAGTGCACAACCTTAAAACATTTTTGCCATAATCTGTACTGAATTACTTTTTCCACTATACTTTGGAAATCTAAGGGTGGGCAATTTATCAATATTGAGAATGATTCAAGAAAGCATGAGGATGGGAATGTTTATTTCTGGCCTATCCAGTTAATGAAGTACCTGATAAACCACAATCCTTCACTTTAAGGGCAGAGAGACACCAAGTCAATATGAAAGAACTACCAGCAACAAAGGCTGACTACTGCGTCGCCTCACGCCGGCTTTGTCTTGGCCAGTCAGGTTGAAAAGATGACGCTTGAACACACGGTACAGACTCCAGCCAACGACTGACTAACACATATGTCCGTTCTGGTCTCTCTCATACCAACAAGGCCCAACGGGCCGACGCTAATTCGACATGTCAAATCGGCCGAAGAGCCGCCAACAGGGGCAGACTACTGCCAACAATACGGGACACACCAGAAAGACAAGCCCTGACAGATGCTGTGGCCGACGGCTGACTGTCGGCTTGGTGTGTGTCTGACTTACTGGAGAAACTGTACAACAAAAACTCTTGAAGGTTGACAAATTGATTTTATATTTGAATAAATGACATGCTATTTAAATCAACTATAATATGTAGATATTTTGATCATCATTGGCAAAGGTAGCACCAATTTATATATTAAGGGAAGATTTTAAAATCAGGCAGGACAGAAATGTTGCCAATTTTAAGTTTTCCATTGCACACACTGAAATTAGTGAAAGCAGCACCACCATGTGAATTGCCACACAGGGAAGGGCAGTGAATTGGCACAGCATAGATGACTTTAGTGCTTTGTGCAAGAGCCAAATCATTTCCAAAAAAAAAAAGTCATGCTTGTGATTCGAGTTGCCAAGAGTTAAACAGCCATGTACAACTAGGAAGAAACCGAGCTCTTCTCATTAGGCGGGTCAAAGATGTTTTGTAAACCCCTAAATCTGCAAAGCAAATTGAAGAGGAAAGTGAATGAGTGCACTTTTGGTTTGACAAGTGTTAAGTTGCAATATACACAAAACCTGTCTAACAAGCAGTGTTGAGCAAAAATGTGAATTGCAGTATATTGAAGCCAGTGGCAGCAGACAGACAAGTCATTTCAAACAGAACAGAAAACTTACTTATGTTTCACAGTGGTGACCGTCTCTGACGCTACACTTGTAGCGATGTTCTTTGCTCCCACTTCCAGACCACTCCACATGGTTGCAAATCCTGCACAAATACATAAAATGCAAAGCATGCCAGTATATTTTAGTGCACTTCTTAGAAACAGCTTCATCTTGGAGAACAGAAAGTGTAGGTCAACTCTACCTTGCACCCCGCTGGCAGCCACCACCATGGCTCCATCTATGTTGGAACGCCCATCCTTGTCTTTCTTCATAGACTCTGGGATCAGCTTGCCTCCGTGTTTTTTCACGTGTGGAGCCAACTCCCGACCCACACAGCTGGCGACAGCACACACCCCGTCCACTGCAGTAACACAGCATTAGTCAGTCCCACTGTCCACTGCCAAAAGGCCACACGAGTCAGTAAAACATGCCGAGTGAAGATGACTTCACCTAAAAACTGGCTGACTTTGACAGCTCCCCCCGTGGCCTGCTTGGCAACATGGAGGCCTTTGGTGACCGTGGGGCTGACCTGGGTGGGTTTATCCTCTGGAGTGATGTGTTCTCTGAGTTTAGACGCCCCCATGTGAATGGCCTTCCCTGTGAACTCAGCTCCTTTTACCAGGCCCCAGCTTAACCAAGACGCACCTGAGAGGTTAACAGGATCACACAGGGGCAGTCATGCTGAGCTGCTTACCTATATTCATTAACAATGTCTTTCCAGACTAATTCCTGACACAATAATGCATACACATATTGAAGTTTGAAGGCATGATGTGACCTCACCTGTCAGGATCCCACTTGCCATCTTTTCACTCCACTCGGGCAGAGCTTTCTCCTCCTCGGTCGCAGCCGGAGCAGTCTCTTCAGGTGTTACGATGGGCACCTTCTCACTGAGATTAATGGTGTCTGCAGCTTCACTTGGAGCCTGATCATACAGACACATTACTTAGCTACTGTAAGGTGAAGACAGATGTGTAGACTGAAAATAAGAACTTTGTACTGCTACTGAGCGCAAGCTGTACACATCTCCACAAAGACGCTCGTCTCCAAGTAACCCCCAATTCACACAATAGCTCCTCTCATTATTACAATGTGCTATTTGTCTGCTACAGATACGGCCTTTTAAAACGTCTACAGTCAGAAACAAAGTTGTTTTTTGTGCTCAAACCTCTACTGACCCAAAAACTTTAAAAACCCACTGAAGAGCCGACTTGCTGATAAGGAATCATGTCCACTGAGAAGATAACCAGCCTGATTGTATACATCAGAAATGACTGTTTGGCATCAGTATGAGCCAGCGCCTCTACCTCCATCATGGCAGAAATGGCACTTCTCTCTCAGCCGAAGCTTTGAGCTTGTTCCAACTGCTGCAGATAAGAACATTATCACCGATTAATTCCTGTCAGTTGTTAGTTTCAAATCCCTACAGTGCTGAGGCAGGGTAACTTGGGCAACCTGTCCAGGGTTATTTTTAGATTTAGAATCCACCGTTTCCTATTCTTGCAGTATTTGCTTGTGACTAGGAAAAGGGCAAAGAGTGTTTGGAGACTGCAAAACAGCAGTGAAATCATGAGATTAACAATCGCACTCTGAACTGCATTTCTACACAGAACACAAATATGTGTTTATGAAGTACTAGAATATCTGAGGGGCCACACAGCAGCGTGGTGGCTAGCACTGTTGCTTCACCCTCTGGGTTTGAGCCCAAGCTGACCCCGGGGCCCGGGGAGAGGACAAATCTATCCATTTGGACACTCAAATTTAAGTCAACTTTAGCAGCTGAAGCTGAGATATTCTATCCGTCCATCCATTATCTATACTGCTTCTTCCTGAATAGGGTCATGGTGGGGCTGGAGCCAATCCCAGCTGACACTGGGCAAGAAGTGCGGTCCACCCTGGACAGGTTGCCAGTCTATCACAGGGCTGACATGCAGACAAACAAGCACACACATCCACACTCACTCCTACACACAAGTTAGAGTCGCCAGTCAACCTAAGCTGCATGTCTTTGGACTGTGGGAGGAAATCAGAGTACCCGGAGGGAACCCATGCAGGCACAGGGAGAACAGACTCTGCACAGAAACCGGGGTCAGCTTGGGCTCAAACCCAGAGGGTGAAGCAACAGTGCTAGCCACCACGCTGCTGTGTGGCCCCTCAGATATTCTAGTACTTCATAAATGTTATTCAACAATCAGACTGATGAAGTGGGATCTCAGCTTTCAAAGAATCCAGAAAATGAAGAAGCAAGTTCCACATGCCTGTAACAGCAGTGGTAGCAGAGAGCTCTAACTTAAGTCTTAAAACAGCTCTCTGTGCCCCCGACTGGAAGAGGATTTGCTAAAAGGCCTTGTGTGGCAAATCTTTGGTAACTTCAAAAACATAATATAAACAGTTTCATATGCAAACAAATACATTTCAAAGAATTCTAGCATTTGGTCAGTGAGATAAGCCTCACAAAAATGCATGGTATTAAGGTGCAGATTACTTATGACGTTCTGTGCTGTTGCCGATCTGAATGCACAGCAACACTGACCTGAACCCTGAGATCTGTCATCTGGGACAACAGGTCCTGGAACAGCTCTCTGTCTGCAGCAGGCAGCTCAGAGGACAGCACCACCCCCACAAAATAGCCTGGAGTCGGCGCCATCATGTCGGGAAACATAAACACGCCAGTGTTACACAGCAGCACTGGCGAGTCTGTGGCCATGAGAGGGTACAGCCAGTCACACACCTGCGAAGAAACACAGGAAAGTTCAGAAAAACAAAGAAATGCAACCAATGGAAAATGTGACAATAAGTAGGTAACTTCTGAGTAACCTGCACCATCACACAGCAAAGCATGATCAGTGAATTTACAATGAAGACAAATGCAAAAGGGGAAAAAGGCATCAGATATGACATTATAATAAACTACAGCCTTCCAAATGTAACCTTGAAAAGACAAGCCTGACATATCTAATGGTGAATGATTAGTGCAACACAGTGAACTGTCTGATAGAAAACGAACCAGAGGACACGGCTCCCTCTGACTGCTGTGTGTCTAACAGGATTATAGGACTTAACAGTGTAAACAGGGTTCTGATGATTATTTGCACTCATGTGAATCACTGATGTCACCCAGTGGCAATAGCATCTGGGAAATTCCCCGATTACGAGTCAAATTTCAGTCTCATGTTATGACCCACTAATATCGGTGCATTGGCCATTTTTACCGAGAGCAGGGCAACAAACTGCCAAAAACATAAATAAGTAAAACACAAACTTGCACAAGTTGGCTAAATGAGATAAAAGTATCCCTTGACCTGTCACGTTGACACAGACTAATCTGTGCATCTGAGTCACGTTAAGATTTATACACCTTATGAAGATCCTTATGGTTTTCATTGTGATGTAAGATTACTCCTGAACTGCCTGATACTCTAAAAATCAGACAGGACCCAACTTCGTGCCACCTTGTCTGTGTTTAGGGAACTTCCTTAACAGAGACTAATGGTACAAGGCAGGAGCTTTGCTGGATCCTTAAAACAAATCACAGCCTGCATTAATTGTAACAGTTGGATGCCTTTTGGTTAAAGGGCAGCAGTATGAATGAACTGGTTAAGCAGTGCTGACTATAACTTACTTTACAACAAGATTCTGTAAATGCATAGAAAGGCAGAGAAACACTGCTCACGGGAAGACGAGACGTATCGGTGTGACATTGTTAGTGGCAACTTTAACCTGAACGTGTTGGCTGGTAGTGATGTCAGATGTGTGGAAACAGGAACAGAGTGTTAAACTGTCCTTTTCAATCCCTCAGTAACACCGTTTCAACAAAAACTGAACATGATAAACTTCACAACATAGGATTTATTTCAAGGTTCTACATTTGACTGCGTTAGCTTTGCTCAGGTGCATCTTTTTTCTGGCATTTCAGTATAAGTATATTGTAACTGAAACACTGTCATTTAAAATAAAGTACATTATAACGCTGTGTTAAATTAACGTTTTTTCTGGCATTTCAGTATAAGTATACTGTAACTGAAACACAAAGTACATTATAACGCTGTGTTAAATGAACAGGTTACAAGATCACCTAGGTCACAGCGAGAGCTTCATATAGGCAGAGCAGGTAAAATAAGCCAGCACACATTAGTTTAGGATGCTGCATGTTTACATTCATTTCCTGTCAAAAATAAGTGAATATGCAGACGGTCGAGACTGGGGAAGCATCTTTGTCCTGTTTAACACTGGCAATGTTCCTGATCTGATATTTCCCAGGAGGATGACATCACACCAATAAACCCATAGGGATTAGGGTACTAAGTCTACCTGATCACATCATCATGTCCATAAAGCCAGGGGCAGAGGCCACTAATAAGCCTATCTACTCCCACTGATGACTCACAGGCAAAGAGGCAAACATCTTACAAAATCAGGTTAAAGGGCATAAAAAAAGGAAAGACAGCTGGTGATACTGTGATGACACTTCATCTGCACCGATTGCGTCACATGGACGCAGCTGTGGCCCGTTTAGAACCACTCAGTATTTTCACATGTTAACACCTGTAGGAAAATATTTATCCTCTCTAACCTGCAGAAATGCTGGGGGCCGGTTGGACATTCTTTCAGATGGGTCACTGGTAAACTTGACCAGCCGCAGGTAACCAGGGTACGAAGGAGCACTGACTTGCCCCTCAGGTGTGACAAAGAACATCTGTACACCGCGAGGGATGTACAGCAGCTCCTCTCCATCTTCACCCACACTCTGGAGGGATGGCACTGAGTCAGGTGTACGACTATAGAACTCCTCTCCAACCACTGACATCTCCCCTTTATCAGTTCCATACGAGATTGATAGGTGGCCATCAGCCGCCTGAGCAGAGTAAGCTGGAGGCTGCTCATCCGAAACCACAGGCTGGCTGTTATGAGACACACTAATGCAGGCACCCATGCCTCCTACAGCTCCTGCTACCTGGCCATTAGAATAAAGCAGGTGTGGCGGAGCCGGCCTCTCTGGCTTCTCTTTGGAGGGAAGTTTTGGGTAAAGAAATTCTGCAAACATGTCTCTAGCACCAGAGGCAGACACACCACTAGCACTCGGTGCAGGTCCAGGTCCAAGGTCTGAGCTGGTCTCTAGTATGGCCAGGCGAGTAGTGATGTTGTTCAGTGTCTCCTCCATCTTCTGTTGCATCTGTCTGGCTGACTCCCAGGAGCTGCCCATGCACTCCTTTCCCTGTGAGGGCACGCTGATGGCCCGGAGAAGGTACTGTCGTCCTCGCTTGTAGAGCTCCAGGGCCTGGGCTTTGTCTCCAGCTTCGTCTGCTGTCAGTCCTTTATTGATGCACTCAAAGGCCCGCTCGTAGCCATCTTTGATCAGCTGAAGTCTGGCATTGTCGAATGCATCTTGCTTGGCTTTCTCCATTCCTCTGAAACAAAACCTACAATTAGCTTTTTTAAAACAATTTGTTGTTTTCCCTAAACCAGAACAAAACATTACAGCATGACCGGGCTGATGACTGTCAGCTTAGTTTGCATTTGGTGAAACTGGCACACTTTATATAAAAACCTGATCTAACTTATAGCCATTATTATTAAGCTTCTATTTTATTACTGACTTAATATCAGTCGCCCCTGAGTGTTAAGCTCACCTCATCTACGACCTGAGATCATGTGACTGAACTGACCAGTCTCTGGCCGATTATATGTAACGTTGGTTAACTTTAACACTAACTTAGTTGGTTGCCTTAGTTTATCTGGTGAACAAATGGTCACTAAAGCAGGATAAAATACGATGAAGTTGGCAACGTCTCTGTTCATACAAGTTAAGCTGTTTCAGCGTAACTTCACTGTACTAACAGCAGCACAAACATAACACTGAGAACTCGTGAAACATAACGTGATTAGCTTGTTTAGCTAATTTAGCTCTTTAATTAGTTAACGGAATTCACACTTACCGTGAGCGAAAACCTTCCCAAAACGTTTAATTAGTCAGTTAGCTTACTTGTAGCTAACCTTGTGTGTTTTCGTCGAATAACGATCCTTCAAACTGTCGAATAACGTTAACTTCAACAAGTAACCGTTTTCCTAAATAGTTTTCGTCTGATAGTAGTCGACTCCCCCTGGTTTAATGTCACAGCTGCTATGTCGCCGAAACTACAAACCACGGTATCGACCTTTTAATAGCAACAGCTGCGTCACCGAATGTACAGAGGCTTCCATTCAAAATAAGGGCACAACTGCCTTGAACGTAGCTTCACTTTTACTTTTATTACGAAAGTATTGACCGGAACTGTTAGTGTGTCACCATTGATGCCTCAGGATAGGTGTGTTGCAGTCAATCCACCAATCAATGCATTCAGGCTGTGTGTAGATGACATTTAGGGTTTTGCTGCCGTCTAGTGGTCACGGTGGGAAACTGCAACAACGTTTTTCATTAGTTAAACTTACGTCAATACAGACATCGCCGCATAAATAAACTTCCGGTTGGTACTTTCAAAATATGATGACCAAAAGGCCAGCATACTGAAGCAAAGTAAGAATGTCGTTCAGCTTTGCTATTGATTGCTTGAATTAATATTCTTCAAATTTGGAAACCTGGGGGTCTCTGGAGCCTCCAGTATGAGGCATAAAAGCCATGCGAGTGAACATAATTTAATCTGTAAAACTATCCTGTATGTCACATGTATTGCTCTAAACCAGCCAAAATGTCAGCCCCCTAAAATAGCATTTGAATAAGCAATGCAAAGCTAATACTACTAATACGTTAAGGAAAAAAAAGTCCTGTATTGAGCAGCAATTCAAAGCAATACTTTTAATGTCCGTAATTTACATTACTGGGGTCCACGATTAGGTACGTTACATTGTGCTACATTATGTAACGGTGTTTACTGCCATCTAGTGGTTTAAGCGGGATGGTACACACTCAATCAAATTAGAAGACTGGAAACACTCTTTTACAATACTATAATCGAAACAATATAAAAACCTAAATGCACTAATGCATTTAAATGACTCAGCTTTGCAATAATTCGGCGCACTTAAAATATATTTAATGAGACAAACGCAGGTAGCCGAGCTACAACCCCAAATCAAAAAAAGTTGGGATGTAAGTAAAATCAAAATTAAAACAGGAAAATATCGATTTGTAAATCATCTGTGTCCTGAATTACATTAAAAACAATAAAGCAGAACATTATTTGATGTGATACCGCTTCAAATTTTTATCACGCTGTGGTAAATACTTTACTGTCCCAACTTTTTTCGTTTTGGGGGGGAATGTGCTGCAGGCATCAGAATTGAAATTACTGTTTATTTTGAGCAAAGAATAAAATTAATGAGATGTCACATTAAATAATGTGCTGCTGTGTTAGTTTCAATATAACACAGGACACTGGTGATTTACAATTCACTATTTTCAGTTTTAATTTTGATTTTACATACCCTCCCAACTTTTTCTGATTTGGGGTTGTAATATTAAGTGTTAAAAAATTTTTTTTTCAATTGAAATTAATAGCTGTTAAAATATATACAACTTATAGCTTAATTTATACTTGTCAGACGTGTTTCCACCGTGTTAAAAATCATAATTTTTTGATGGTCTTGAGAAGGTGAGCTGACTTCAGACATTAACTATAAGGAGTACTGTCCGCCCTCTAGCGGACAAAATAGAAACTACAACAATTAAAATAATCAAGTCAACGTCAATATGCATGAAAAACGTACCAGCTCTTCCGGCGGGTGTTTTCAAAATACAATGACCAAACTGAAAATAAAATATCACGACAGAGTATGCTAACTGTTCTCATTGTCATTTTGACGACAGTCCTACATCCTTTTTAACCTTAGAAGACATTGAGGCAGACGTGCTAGGATAAAAAAAAGCCCTCAAATTCCCTTTTGCTGTATATTTGAACTGATCACATGTCAAAAGAAAGTCCAGCTGTTGAGCAAGTTCCACATGATGTTTTAGGGAGAGACTAAACACCTACCTGATTATCTGTCTAGAAGATGCTGACAAATTAGCTGAGAAAACTGGTTACCATGGCTCTGAGTCATAAAATAAAATCAAAAACATTGGTCAAAAAGACAGAAATTGGCCACTTACACTATATAACTGTTGATGATGTTTCCACTGTTTAAATAATTGTTGCCAGACTGTTAATAAATTATGAATATTTCAGATGTTTGTTCGAAAGATAATTCCTAGGACTAAGGGGTGAAGAGTGAATGAATGTGTCTGTTTCCTTCAGTGATTCTTTCAAATTTCATGAGTAGATTCCACCATTCTAAATGTGAACGAGCTGCCAAGTTAAATAAAAACCTGTAATACCACCACGTGTTCATTCTTTGCTTGTAATTTCTAATGTTACTAATGTTAATGAAGCAGCATCTACAGACTAGTTAGGAAATGCTTGAACTTAAAATAAACTCTGAAAGTCTGTAAAAGCTGATAAATTCAAACATGACACGCAGTCTTGGCTGTGTCACTGCACCACAAACAAAAAGTATGATAATTAAGCACTTAATTTAGTGTTAAACTCAATAGCTTAATCTAAAGTAATAAAAAGAGGAATATCTCAAAACTCTGGTGTTGATAAAATGTCTCAGTGTTTGTGAATGCCACAGTGATGGAAATTCTGTACATCAACTTGTATTTTAATTTAAGCTGTCTATCAATACTGGAATTGATAAATGTTACTGTGCAGAGATACGGGTCGAACAGAGAGAAGCAGTGATGAGGACTATGATCTGCAGAGGGCGACAAAGACTGGATGAGATGTGGATGTAGAGAAAAAAAACAAAGGTCTTTTCAGTGCTGTGGATTCATAGCCCTCATAATTTATACATTATGACCAAACATGGAAACGTCAGGCCTACAGCTTGGCATAACTATGTAACTAATGACCATTCAATTGTCTATTTTTAAGCATAGGCATAAAAAGTTATAGGCATTTAAAGCCAGCATTGTAAATCAGTGTATAATTAACTAAGCCACTTTTTCACATTCTTTCATGTCCCCGTTTTATTGTTCCGACCCAGTTCCTGATAGTCACTGTGAGCCCAAAGAAAGGCACGTGATAAACGTTTCATCGCCTGTTTGACAGATTCCCAACCTACATCCTGACTGAACATCCTCTTCTTTGCACATGTGCAGGAGAAACGCTGTGAAGTTAGATGCAAAGATGTTAATGTTTTCCATCACAAACAATGCTCTTTGATTTATAAAGGATTTAAGCTCTTGTCCATGAAATTCTGTAGCATTTTATCACAGTTTAGGTCAAAGCGAATAAAAGATAAGTTGTTGATGATTCTCCTTTGAATAAATTCACAGTAATTAGACCACACAGTAGTTTAGGTTCTACATGTTTTCTGTATTTAGTTGTGTAGCTCTAGTGCATGCACACTATATTATATATATCATACTGTGTGAAAACACTTTTTTTTGTTGTCAGTCAAGAATAGAAGTGCATCAGAGATATATGTTTGTATGAGGCTCCATAAGGAAGCTGTAAATTTACTGTGTCCTCATGGTGAGTCCAGCAGCAGCTAACAGGCTGGTGACACACATCTGTTGTTTACGTTGGTTCCCATATGAACAAAATACTGTAAGTGCTCTTCATCATTTTGGACGGGTGATTTCTATTAAATGGCCAATTAATGGCTGGTCAGAAAAACATTTTTACCTGAAAACTTCAAAATAAAAGTCTTAAGGTTGTAGTTTTTATCCAGCAGGACAAAATAATGGTTATTAATTTTGCAAAGAATAAAGATTAGAGGTATAGAGATACTATGACCTCAAAAGTTGATTAGGCCTAAAACATTCATTTTACAGAATGAGCAGACTGAGTCTTTTAATAGTCAGCAAAGATGAGAAAGGAATGAACACACGGTGATAAATGAGGAGTAGTAAACCCACAGACATTCAAATGATTTGCAAGTGTTTGATGAAACTAAAAGAAGCCAAATAAGATGATTCAGAATTTTGGTTATACAAGTCATTTAAATGAATCTAGTGTCAAATTTGAGTTTTATTCTCAGTTTTAAATGTTAATTTAATGATGTAATGAAACAGCTGTGCTGGTGTTTCAGGCAACTCTGTGGATCGCTTCCGCACTGCTACTTAAGCTCGGTAATGTTCATTTTTCCTCCACTAAATGTTGTAAAGCTGTTCTGCTGCAGTCTCCCCTTTACCTGACCTCCTATTTTCCTAGACTGCTGGTCTTCAGTTTAACAGTTTAACCACTGTGCACATCAAAAGACCCTATTATATTTAATAATAACAATTTCTTCCATAACTTGTGTTATGACTCATGTTTATGGTAAAATTGATCATCAAAAGTGATTCATGATGCTGTCACCTAATGATACAGCTGTGTTTGGCAAATCTTGTGGAATTACAAGGTTTAGGTCAGAAGGAAATACAGAAAAGGGCAGCAACAACTGCACGTCTGAAGAAGTGGTAACAGTTTTCTCAGGTATTCATTTCACTTGTTGCTACTCAGCTGCAAAACCACATCAATAATAACAGCAGGGTATCATAAACAGGACCTGGTTTAAACTTCTTTTTATGTCTTGTGTGCCTGGGCACAAGATGCAGATACAGCACAATCACAAACTATCTTTAATGTGAACCACTGGAAGGTATTTATGTGTTATTTGTAGCGTAAACAAAAACAATCTGCCATCTAATGTTACTGAGAACAGTACTGCCTCAGATCAAGTCATGCTTTCTTTAGTCTTTTCATCAGTGGCAGCTTGTGAAGATGTCCTACATTTATGAACCTTAAATGATTAATGTTGCCAGTAGTAGCATGTTTATTTGGGACAGCCCACTGAGTAAACAATCAACCTAAACTAACAAGGAAGACATGTCGCTGGTAACTAATAAGACATGGCACATATCTCCAGATGCTGAAATCAATATAAAACAACATATGCTGCTACAAATCACAAAGGTTTAATGTAGAAATGAAATCAATGTTTGTATTTCATAAAATGGTCTTGAGATTCACAAATTTATTTAAAAGTGATAGAACAAACTGTACCACAACTGTAGATGGAGCCCTGTGTAATGCACGCCACCAGGGCCAAGAGGAAAAACAGACACCATTTCAATACTATTGAAACTGCTGTTGCCGCTCTCCCTTTCTGAAGAGGTTCAAAAATCTAGCTGTTAATAAAACATGACAGCTTTTCATGTATCTCATATTTTGTTATTTTTGAGATACAAATACATATGCACCCAATGACACCCACATGCACTAATACATTCCTAATTGATATCAGAACCTGAACACAGTTTTCTCCTCAACCTACCGC